TCGGGGTGGGGTGGGGGGTCAAGGGTGGAGATAAGGTAATGGGGGTTACCGCCCAAGCTGCCGGGGAAGAGCTACCTGGTCGCACAACGCGCACGCCACAACGTCATGTACCTGCGGGCTCGCATGCACAGGAAGAAGCGACGGCTGCCGCGCGAAGTGCGGCGATGCATTACTCGCTGCCAACCTGAACCGCAAGGCAGCACAGCACAACAAGAGGGAACCATGCAATGTCATCGCCCGGCGGCAAAGGCCCATAATGATGCATCTAGCGACCTGCGGTGCCAAAGCAGAGGACAATACACGACGAGGGCACTGATCCTTCGCTCGACGATTCGTGAGAGAGTTACTACTGGGAACACTGTATCGATGACGGTTTGGAAAGCCGTGCTCAAACGCGTCGTGATATCATTAGTTGCAGGATCTGCAGCTGTTGCCGCCGATGGGCCTTGCGCTGAGGGCTATTACTACGAAAAGGGCTACTACGATTACATGCCTGCGCCGTGTCGCTCGCGCGGCACCAGATCTACCTGGCAGGCTCAGATCTGCCGGGCTGCGGATCTGGCACCGATGTCGTCTCCGTTTCAGCGCGCAAGAAGGTAGTCGCTGCCGCTTGGTTCCACCCTTCCAGGGGGCCATTCCGCGCCGCCACTGGCGGATCCCAGTAGTCCTCCTGTGGCGCTGACCAAGGTACGCTACTGTACGGCGTCGCTGTCCATGCGCTGCCATCTGCAACTGGAGGAAGCTCTTGGACGGGGGGGAGCTTTGCCGCTTGGTGCGTCTGCGTGAGCCCATGGTGAGGGTGAGGGTGATGGAGCAGCGGCGGGTGGCCGGGCGCGGCTCCCACCCAGCAGGGCAGGGGGCCCCTGGCGGTGGTGGGGACGGCGGCGACGGCTTGAAGCTGGGGCTGCTGCCCACAGGTTACCGTTGCATCTGCTGCTGCCGGTTTCATCTCTCCTAGGGGGTCCCCCAGGGTTACTGACTCTCGGGCAGCTGCTAGGAAGTTGACCTCCCCTCCGCTGCCGCCGCCTCGGTCGCTACCGTGACCACCGCCACCGTCGCCGCCGTCGAGTGCCTCGTCGCTGAGGGAGATGGCGGCCGCTACGGCAGTGGCGGAGTGGCTGCTGCCGGCGGCCCCGGCGGCGCCACCGGAGCTGGAGCCAAGGCGGCGGGCGGCCAGTTGGAGAGTGAGGGCGCTGGCAGGCGACGTGGGCGGCCGGGGCACGCGGGACAAAGGGAACAGCCGCCGGCTCTGCATCCCCAGGAAGTATGGGGTTAGCGAAGGGGAAGGCGCCAAGAGTTGACTTAGGGTTTGACTTAAGTCATGTTGTTGGATGTGCAAAAATCCCATAGCGCCGATCCCTCCACAATAATAGATGAAGGATATTGAGGCATGAGTACATACAGAAGGAGTGCAAACGCAAGCACAGCTTCGAAAATGGTTTTAAGAAGGGACGGAAATGCTGAGCTAGCTAGTGTAGGCACACACACACACACACACACGCGCACACACACACACACACACAGACAGACACACACACACACAGACAGACACACACACACACAGACAGACACACACACACACATAGAGACACACACACACATAGAGACACACACACACAGAGAGAGACACACACACACACACACAGACTGGTGGCCAGAGTTCACGCGCTGACCAGGAGGCTGCGGCCGCCCTGACTGCCAACCCCTGACACGCGGCACGGCTGGCTACAGCGGTGCCGGCCCAGGTCGCGGTGCAAAAAGTCATGCAGGCAGCAGCCAGCGCCGAAGTGCTTGTGGCCCGGTGGACCTGTATCAGCGTCTGAAAACGTCCCTCCCACACCCCCATCACCGCCCTTATCCAAGAGACCAGCGATGGCGGGGCCGGAAAGGGCCCCTCCAGACTCCGTGATTACACCACTGGGCACTGGTCAGCTACCCGGCCCGGATACCGCCAAGTACTGGCGGGATCTCAGCACCATGGCGCCTTCAGAGGCCGAACTGCCAACAGCCGTGAAACCTCAGCATGCGGGGGCGCAAGTGCTGGAGGCGCTACCCGAGCGCCTGCCAGAGGCAGAGGACGCGGCCAGTGATGTGGGCCGGGTGCGGGTCACAAGTACTGAGGTGACAGTGGCCCTGAAAGCCACGCCCGCGCGGCAAGGTCCCGGGGTGGGACGGACTGCCTGTGGAGCTGTATACAGCCTTTCACCTGCAGCTGGCATACCCCCTGTACGGCCATTGGCACCACAGGCCGTATGCCCGCCCGGTTCACCGATGGCAAGGTGCTCCGCAAAAAGGGCGACCTCACACAGCCAGGCAACTACCGCCCCATCAACCTGCTCAAGACCAATTATCGCAGCACGCTCGCCAAGGTCCGGGCCGCGCGCCTGGGGCCAGTCCTCAACACCGCTGTCTCCCAGGAGCCGACGGCTTTCCTGCCCGGCGGCCTGCGCCACTGCCCTGCGCCACCTCCCCCACCTCCTCCGTAGCCCGGGCCGCGCAGCCCTCGTCGCCTTCCTGGACTTCGTCAAAGCTTACGACACGACACAGTTCACCGGGATTTCCTAATCGGGCAATGACGGAGCTGGGCGCATCGGAGCAACTGTGCAAGTGGGCCCGGACACTTATGTCCGGGGCAGACGCCCCTCACGTCCCTCTCCCGTCCGCGGGGGAGAGCTTAGGCGGTCTTTCCGTTGGGGCTGGGCAGCAATCCCTTGCCAATGTCAGGCCCGGTCCGATACTTATACCTTACACACACATACGCACGGTTACCCGAAACGGTTAGCTGCCCCTGGCGTAGCATCAGGCCCGGATCGACATGTAACAGATAATAGACCGGGCAGACCGGGCAGACCGGGCAGACCGGGCAGACCGGGCAGACCGGGCAGGGCGGTAATAGACCGGGCGGTAATAGACCGGGCAGTCGAATGCGGAGATGAACCCCTGGGTTCCTCCAGTGCGCTGGGCGGCTGGAGAGGGAGCTCACCATGAAGATCTATCTAAACACTGCCGCAGTGCTGTGGAGGAGGATTAGTTCTGCATTGGGCCTGGTGGGCCAGACTGTATACTGAAGGTTTTCTAAGAGTAAAAGATAGAAAACCGAGGTTTTCTGTGAACTCAGAAGCGTGTTGGTACGGCATGTAATGCAGTGGTTAAGGAGGTCGCTCTGGTATGCTAGAGCACTTTTCGGGTTTCTTAGGTACGTCAGGTCGCTGCTGTGAGGCACTAGGTGTCTAGGCCTAGTGGATGGCCCCCTGGTAGCTGGAGCCTCCACCCGGCCTATACCTACCGAAGGAAGACTTATTTCAATTGCTTGCGGGTACCCTTTGTAACGTTTGAGGTTCCTCGTGAAATCCAGATGGTAGTTGGATAACGAAACCGGGCGGGATAGGGAGGCGATTGGTACCGGTGTGAGTGCTTTGGTAGATCGCGCAGCTGTAGAGCATGCGCTTTCGGTGGAACGGAGGTTGCTTGGCATCAGCTGCTTTATGTAGCTGGCTAGAGGACTCGAACAGGTGACGGCGCCTTGCGTTGACAACGGAGAACGGTGAAGACTCTGACCAATATAACGCCCCTCCAATGATGGAGTGCTTCGGACTCCATCAAAAACGGTCGTTCCCGTTGGGGTACGGTTAGATGTCCCTGGCCAGCGGCAGGCCCGGATCGATATGTAACAGATGTAACAAACCGACACACACAAACCGACACACACAAACCGACACACACAAACACACAGTGGCACACACCTGGGTCGTGGCAGTCTTCCGGCGGGAGGTCTGCGTGATCTTGACGGCACGTGGGGCGGGCCTGGATAGCTTGCCAACGATGAAGTCCAACCACTCCTGTGTTGGATTGTTGGAATTGGAATTTAAGAAAAGGTGTCAAGTCCGATCGCCGGTCGGTCGGACCTTAACGACGCAGCAGGGTTTCATGCTTTTCTGATGCAACCGCCAGGTGATGTGAGGTATCTTGTGCATTAAGGGGGTCATCAACCAGGACGAGCCCTGATTGGCCCTTGTAACTTTTCCAAGCGCTTGCAGGAACACCCTCACCCCGACCCCTGCATCCGCAACGCGATGCAGCCTCTGCACAGCCCATTACCATCATGTCCGGCACGTGCACCGCACTTGCCTTGGCGCAGCTGCCGTTCTCAAACACGAAGCCTCCGAACTCAGGCAAGGCCCGATACGCGTAGCGCCTGATAGAATGGAGAGGACCCACGCACAGAGGGAGTGTGTGGTAACAGTCATAACTGGTGCGTGTGAGGGCATACCGAAAGGTCGTGGGAGGGCGACGTGGCGACAGAGGCAGCCGCGATGGCAGCAGTGACGGTGGGTGGCGGTGTTTGCAGATGCGAACGCGGCAGTTGCATTGCGGTAGCGGCAGTTAGCGTTCGTAGCTGTGCCAACAGGTGAGCGCACCTGTCCCGTCGGTGGCTGTCCTCTGCCGTTACCACCAGTCGGTCCGGGCAGTCGACCCGGCCAGGCGCTGCCACCAGCCAGAATTGCTTCATGTGGCGACCATCCGGCAACACACTGACCTCCTCGCGCCAGGACACGTATTGCCTGTGCGCACAATGAGCATAAGCACACAGGACGGTGGTGCTGGCGGCGCTTCATTTGCCAGGTACGGGTAGTTCCAGGTGCGCCAGGTGGTTAGGCTTCCCGGATGTTGCGTTGGGCAACTCCATCACATGCGCCTGTTGTTGCAACGGTTTCATGCACCGGCGCAACGTCTTTGTGTGGTTCCCACAAGAGGGTGGCTGTGATTGGTGACCCCGCTCTGGGGTCCGTACGTGCAGTTACGCCCCACCCGCCCCGAACAGCCGCAAGCAGCTGAACATCCCGTACAGCTCCGCCGTTGCGCAGTTCCGTCCTGTTGCGACAGCAGCTGCAAGGAACCTGGTCAGCAGGGTGAGACAGTCCGATCGGGTCCCGACAGGAATGGCACTTGTCCTGAAAATCCCGACAGGCTTTGAAAATGCTTTCGGGCGGACCCGACGAAAAAGGGGGAAAATGCCAAACGGCCATCGGGAGCCCCCGTCGGGGCCCGGAGGGCCCCCGTCGGGGGACCCGACATGGTTAGGGGCGCTAGGACCACCCGATCGGGTGCCGTGGGTCGTCGGTGGGCCCTTCGGCGACGGACAGCTACAGCGATACATAATGGCATTCATAAAAATATAACTGGATGGAAATATGTAATGTAGTGGTAGCATTCTTTATCCTTTGACTCTGCTGTACAGGGATCCATGCTTGGATACATAAGTGAAGGGCACACTACCTTATCTCGGCCATATAACTGCGCATATAAAATACGAATAAATGTAATTTCAAGCGGCACACAGCGAAATTTCGTTCTTGCGTCACCCGACAGGTTTTGGGATGGGCTATCGGGGCACCCGACAGAACTGGAAAGATATGCAAAAACGCTATCGGGCGGGGCCGACGGGCATGGGAAGGGGAAAACCGGCAACCCGACCATTTTAGGAAGGTCCTGTCTAACCCTGCTGGTCAGCCCTTCAGTGGAAATCCGAAGTCAGAACCGCAATTACGTCGACACACCGTCGCTTGTCACCGGGGGAAAGAATGTGCATCCATGCTCAAAGAGTAAGGATCACTCTCCATTGAAATTGAAATGGGTTTGTTGCAGCTAACCGTCCAATGCTGTTGCACCTAACCGTCCAGTGCTGTTGTAGCTAACCGTCCACTGCTGCTGTAGCTAGCCGTCCAGTGCTGCTGCAACTAACCGTCCAGTGCTGTTGCAACTAACCGCCCACTACCTTATCGTCCACTCACCGGTCGAGGACCGTCTCAGGCGGCCGGGAGTACAGCGGGTCAGACGACTCGAGGAGCTCTAGTTCATGAGGCCGCAGTGGGGGGATGTGCAGCCTGGCGGTGTCCGCCGCCTCCACTGCACAGGCAACGGGAGTATACGGATGTATGTATGTGCGGTCCATACGGTGACTTGTTGTACGAAGCCGTGCAGCGGCTAGAATACTAGCTGCAGCTAGATGAAAGCAGCCCAGGCGCGCCTCTATCAGTTCCCGGCACCTCCCGTGACACGATGCAAACATCAAAAGCGCAGCTAGTACTGCAGTCGTTACAGCTCTTACTGGAAGGTGGAGCGCTCTGAAGGGGACGTCGGCGTGGCCCTGCCCGTGCACATGGCACGCTATATGGCACGAAACACATCCCAACATTGTACGATATCTGTACATACTGATCTCGTAGCTTGTGAAACAGCATTAGTAAGCCGGTGTGTACCTCACACGCGCAGGCTTTCCCCCGTCCGCTCCATTACCCTCCGGTGGCCCACGGGGGGGTTGGGGGTGGGAGTGCGAGTGGGGGTGGGGGTGCGTGCGCTGTTCGTCCCTCCGCAGACAGTTTCTCCCACCGCTCACCTGCGCCCTGTGCCGCCAACCAGTCCATCACCCGATTGCGGTTGGTGCAGCGAAGGGGTTGGCCCGCCACGGGACACTCGGGAAGGGTGGAGTAGACGAAGTGGCCGGAGAAACGCAGATCCGTGCCCTAAGGGGGAAGAGAAGATCCTCAGGTCTGAGAAGTCAAAGTGGCTCATGAAAACGTGCGTTGTCAAATGACAACGCGAACAGCGTTTGAAATTTTGCGTGCGGAAACGAAGCGTAGTTGATTCGTAGTGGGAAGTCCGAAGGGTCGCCCGAATAAACGACTTACCACGACTGCCAGCTCCGCATTATAATGCTCGTCCACTAGGTAAAACAGAATGTGGTTGGCGGTTGCCTGCCAGCGCAAGATATGGTAGTATCGCCACTGCCGCGCAGCCCCGCCATTGTTGGCGCCGCCCGCCGTAAACCCCACAGACGGCTCATGTGGAGCACCTGACCTGACGTCAGGTGACCTCGGCCGCTTATGCCGCTGCTGCTGCTGCTGCGGCGGCGGCGGCGGCAGCAGCGGCGGCGCCGGCAACGGCTGCTGCTGCTGCTGGCGCCGCTGAGGTTGCGGCATTGGAAATGACGGCGGGTAGGGGTGCTGTTGCATCCAGGGCTCTTGCCCATGTGGCCCTTGCTGCTGCTGTTGATGCAAAGGGCTCTGGCTGTACGGCTGCTGCGGCTGTAGCTGTTGCTGCTCAAACGAGAATACCTGCGGCGCGGATGCCGCTACGGGGGGATGCCACTGTTGCTCAGGTTCCAGGTAACTAGGAACTGTAGGATCGAAAGCGTCCAGGCCAGGGCCTTCTTCTAGCGGCAGGGCCTTATCCCCGTGAGCGTTATAACCCTCTCCTTGGTTGGGACCTCGCGGCCCCTCGTGCCGCTCCTGCAGCTGTAGCTGCTCGTGATGGGAAGGCAGCGGCGGAAGTGGCATAGCTGGGGCCGGCAAGCTCAGCTGATGCCGTTGGTGATGTTGCTGCCCCGGGACAGCAGGATCCGACGGACAGGGCAACAGGGCCCCGGCACTAGCAGGGACGGTTGCTGACCAGCCGGCAGGCGGAGTGTGATGCTGTGCAGGTGGCTGGGGACCCTGGCTGGGCGCCAGTCCATCCGCTTTTCTCGGCATGAACTCGGCGTGTGCGTACAGGATCTCACGCTGCTGCGGGTGTGAAGGAGGCATGGGCATAAGAGGGTGCTGGTGCGGATGTGGAGGCCCAGCAATGGGAGCATAGCTGCTGTTGACCAAGTAGTCGGGGCCGGCGAGCATCTGCGAAGCAGGCAGGGCTGCTGTAGTGGCGAGGGCTGTGGCGACCGGAGGGTTATTCCGAGATGGCGTCGGGGCTGGCCGGGAACCTTGCTGTGGTCCGCCTGTCGGGAGCATTACGGGGACGCAGGTGTGTTGGGCAGTTGATGAAGCTGCGCAGTTTTGGGTTGGGATGGGTTGCATCAAGTTGCTTGAGCGGAGCTCTTATCCTGAGGTGGAAGATGTCACCATAGGTTGGCGGTTCCCGGTTCCCTCTGATAATGGCTGTGCGGCGGGATGGATCTGGTCTCTTGACGTCCTGAAACACTTCTTGCAGGAATGTAACTGAACGCGCAGACGGATAAAGACAGGAAGCTGAAGACGTGCTTCAAAATAAACAAATATGTTATGAATAACGTTTCGATGATGGTCAGGAAGGTCCAAGATCGCAAGTTGAGCAGCCATCGAAATCGGATGGCGGCTTGTGCTATATAGATAGTAATGTCTCGTCTGGAGTAAGAGCCGCAAGTCTCACAGATCGAGGACAAAATCCTATGGTTCTATATGAGCTTTATCGCCCCGCAGACATTTCAGTTTGTATTTAGAAAAAACGGGGTTACAAATAGGCCGCGGGGTTCGGTGTACAGGGGTCCCATATATAGGACGAGAAAGTACAGAATACATTGGGAGTTCGCAGCTAACCCTTATTATCTCACCTTGCACAGGATGAGCATCGATTTGTTTTTCATCCTTGAATGAGATATGCTGGTGCTGATGGTGCAGCGGCAGTGTCGGGAGCTGTGCTTGCGGCCGCCTCTGTCGCGTGCATTCACTCATCGGGGCGGCTGTGCTGCGCTTTTACGCTGTCTGGCTGCGGGAAAAGCTAAAGATTATTTGATAGTCAATAATTTTCGGTACTACTGGGAATCCGGAGTAAGCCAAAACCTACTATGGACGGATACAGCCGCAACAGCCGCAACGGGCAAAAGGCGACCGCGTGCGGCGCGCCGCGACACGAAGTTACTTGACTCTCGAGTTATTGTGACTGCAAAATGCAAATCATTCATAAATTATTTATTCAAAAAAACCAAATACATATGCGGTCCAAATGCTGGTCTGCATGTTACCTGGCGCTTTAACCTGATCTCTGACGGCTCTAGAAGATGTTCAATACTTCCTCACGCTGCGCAACGGGCAGCATGAGATCAATATTGTGAAAAATTGGAGACAGATTATACTTAAGTTAAGGCGTATATAGCGTCTTATAAGATGCAAGCAAGGACCATGGCGGCGCGGCGGCCATGCGTGGTGGTGCCTGCCATTGCTCCCGGCAGTACAAACTCTCGATCACTCGGCCGGCCCCTCCAAGATTGGCCCCAACCTTGAGATCCCCCTTGCGGCGCCTGACCCACACCGTCTGGGCTCACCCTATCACCCTAGCCATGCCATTCTATCTCTGACCAAACATCGCCATCATTCTCCACCACTCTCTGCACTCAACCCCCACGGGACGGGTGATGGCAGAGGCTGCCTGGCAGCCGGGTCGGCGCCCAGCAACGGTGCAACGCACCGGTCAGACGTCATGCTGTTAGCTGTTCGTCTCCTCTCATGCATTACGGCGGCTATCGAACCCACCGGCCGGAAAGGTCGACTGTCATTTCAAACGGGTGCAGGTGAAAGGTGCTGGTGATGCTGTCAAACAACTTACTCGCCTTCCAAGCCCGGGCTTTTAGCGACTCTGCAGACGTTTAGGGAATGAAAATAAAGCAGTCATTGCAGGGTAGCTGGTAAAGTCCCAGCCAATCAACGTGGTATTCGACGTCCCTGTTGCTTGCAACTGGTGCTCTCGACAGGACCGCGTCACACAAGGTCCCATCTACTAGAGGCTACTGCTACCAGCAGTGCACTGAGCACTGCAGCACGTGGTTTTTGTCTAAGAGTAGGAGCTGGCCCAAGCACGGCTGCCTGCCAAAGAACGTCGATATACCCTTGCTGTGCTTGGGCCGTTGCGTCGAACCATCCGAACTACTTCAGCTGCAAAAACGTTTCGTTTCATTGACCTTCATTCTCTGCAAGGACGCGGCGCTTGGCAATTCTTGGGTTTTTATGTCCTCAGTCGGGCGCCTGCCTTGCACATATGGGGCAAGGTACCCGTTGCTGATCCGAGACCTAAGCGTCTGAAAGTTCATTCCTATACGGCCACGGCGCGCAGTCAGGACATAGCACCTAGGATCACTGCGGTGCCCCATAACTGCTTCTAGGCTGTGTGTCGTCCATCTGCAAATTGAAAATTCTGAACTGCAGATGGCGTCACTGCCCAAGTGGTCCAACGCCAAGTCTGAGACTGCCTGGACGCAGGACGCGCCAACAGCCACGAGGATCGGCACAAGTAGCTGTGCCAGCGATGACGAGCCGCCTTTCACAGCCCCAAGGACACCGAAGCGCGTGCGGTCGCACATGCGTGCGGGGCTCACCCTCACACCCCAGACGCTCCGTTACGGAAGTGCTTTCGGCGTCCGCCGCAACCTCCGGCACATACATTTGGCCTCGGTGTTGCACACTCAAAGCCAACGAGATCGCACCTTTGCTGTGTCCTTGCGCTTCGCTAACACGATGGCTCGCTTCTATGGCCTTCTCCTATAAACTCCAAAAGGACTTGCGCAATTCTGCGACTCTGCTGGAATGCTGAAGCAAAGCTATCCCTCGCTGCCCCAAGCCTCAACGTCTAGCTCCAAGTCAATAGGATTCAACGTTTGCATGTGTAATTACTAAAGCTCCGTCCTACAATCCAAACCTCCAACTGCCGTGATGCATCAGCTTCGGGAGGGGAGAGGGCGTACCGGTGCATGAGCACCCGCTGTTATGAGGTCCCAAGACATTTGGACGCAAGCAGCGCCGCCTGCTCAAGGCTTTGTAGGGCAGATGACTGACATACACACGGGCCACGTTTGTTTCTCCGAGGACCCAAGAGCCTTCCTCGCCGCCTTCCACGTCAACCAACATCGCGCGCCTGAAGGACCGCACCATTTTCACGATCAAAGCTCATATAGGCTCGTACACCGAACCTTGCCCTCCCCCTCCACATGGCTCTGTTCCATAACCAGCCCAGCGCGCCTCCCCAAACACGCGCCGACAACCGCTCTTTCCTCCAAGCTCTGTCCTGAAAAAACGCAGCGAACAGCAAACATGTCACGGCTTGCTGCGGATTTCCGTCCTGCGCCGTGAATAAAGGCGGCAGCAGGCAAGACATCAGCACCACCATCAGCTGCAGCCGCCCACAGCCCGGTCAAGGCGTCCGCTGCAGTGGCAGCAGCCGCACGCAGTGGAGAGTATTGAGTTAAGCACAGGGGCCTGGTTGACCTCATAAGGCCCGAGATAACGGGAAAAAGCCCTGACTTCAAGGAGGGCTCCCGAGCTCACGAGCCCTGCAAAGAGGCCTCACAGCGGCGCCCTGCCGGTTTCCACAGCCCGCGTATCAGCAGTGCTACACGGTCATCATCACCATCAGCTAGCATTCTGTACCAAGGATTTTAAAGCAAGGAAAACGTCGTTCGGCGGTCCAGCAAACTACGCACCGCTCGCTAAGAGCTGGCGGGAAGCCAACACGCTGGAACAAATTGAATATGCAACCAGACGTCAAAATACTTATACATAAATACATACTGACATACAAACATATAAAAACTGCAGATGTCTTAAAAGAGGGCTAGTATGTTTGGAGAGACCCTGCATGCGAAACTCAGTGAACCCTCACCGCGCTTGCATGTCCGCGCGCCGCTTTTTTCAGCAACAGTTGTGTAAACATGAAGCGCACCTTTTCACTACTCCAGCCTTTTATCAAACGATGGAGCGCGCGGCGCGTTCCCAATTATTCTGTTAATCTCCTCCAAACCCCCTACGACCCCACGAGAAAACACACAGCACGTGTTCCCCGAGTTCCTATACAACGAGGCAAGTCATTTAAGTTAAATTGACATCAAGCGCAGCACCGCCGTTACTCAGGCTGCATTTGCTATAATAGGGTCTAAATTGTTTTAGCATGAATCACCGTTACCTAAAAAGCCCGCGAACACAGCGGTACCATCTGATGCTCGTACAGGCGCATCTACAACGACTAGGATTAGCTAGCGCAACGAGAGCGGCTAGTCTCGTGTGTCCAGTTAAAGTATCTCGCTCGCAAAATCCGACAACACGCAGTGCTGTACAACCGGGGGTCCCCAACAATACACAATGACCGCAAGCAGGCCAGCACAGTGGCTAGCTGGAGCGTGATGCTCCTGCTGCTGCTGCTGCTGCCCGGTGCAAGTCGGGTCCGCACCACATTGGCCTCTCTTGGCCTGCCACTCTCTTCCCTCCCTCACGCCCCCCTGGACTTGCTGCCACCCCGAGCCGCATCTATCCGCCGTCACCACCGTCTGTGCTACTGGTGCTGCTGCTGTTGCTGCTGTTGTTGCTGCTGCGCACGTAGCTTGTCCCTCAGCTTACGCCGGGGCTCTAGGAGCGCCTCCATCGCTAACCGAATCTACAGTTGGTGGGTGCGGCCGTACGTCGTGTTAGGACTTCGGCGGGAGCACGGATCGCGCCGGAATGCGCAGGGGCCGCAGGTGTATGGGAGGTCGTGGTGGTAATGCGGCGTTGAATATATGCGTGGGTAATGCGGTAATGAACACAGCTTCAAGAAACAGACAAGGGGACCCAGACATTGCAGAGCTGCACTGGCTGGTGGTCCCTAGTTGGGCCCCCTCGCACATCGAGGGCTTCAAGTAAGGGCACCGGCTGGGGGGGTCGTGGGTTTTCATTTGGCTTAGAATTCGAAGCCCACTCACCCGCACACTCAGCGACGGCACAGCGGCAGTGCCCAGCCGGGGACCTGGAACCCCTCCGCTACAGCCCTCCCAGGCTCCACACCATCCTCCCCCCAGCCCAGCCCAGCCCAGCCCAGCCCAGCCCACCCCAGCCCAGCCCAGCCCTCCACCACCTGCTCCGACGTATTGGTGTTCTCCATGCTGCACACCACCAGACCCTTGTTCCTGTCCACCGCGTGCAGCAGCTCCTGAGGTCGCAGCCGCGCACGGGACCACGCACGAGCAGGCGGGCGGGAGAGCACGGAAACCAGTTCAGCGACAACAGCCGGTTTGCCAGCAGATCAGCCGATCGGCCACATGGCTGTTACACCCTGATCACCCCCTGCAGCTGACATACACCGGCTTTACACGGACCGTCCTGCGCAGAGTCTCGCACTCAGCTCACGACTAGCTAGCTCTTAGGCGTTGGACATCGGCGTGTAATGTTCCACTCTTCTCACGCTTCGAAATATGGCCACACCTTTAAGGACGGCCAGGGCCACGACCGATGCCACTACTGCAGCTCTGCCCCACAGAGCCTCCTCCCCACTCCTCCCTCCGCCCGCCCGGCCCCCTTCTTTCCCCACTCCTCCTAACGCCAAACACACACACACACACACCTTGCCTCCCTCCGCTCGTAGGTCATTGTTGTCAAGAACAATGGCTGCCAATGTGGCCGAGCTGGCGATCCCCTCCGCCAGCGCCCTAAGGCCCTCCAGGGTGATCTGGTTACCTGATAGGTCTACATCCACCAGGCCCTGTGGCGGCCAGCAGGGCCGAGAACGGATTACAAATGATTAACAAGACGTAGATGAGTAGCGATCCTCCGGTCTCCCTTCTTGCCATGTCCCCTTGCCTCCCGCGGCCGAGGGAGGAGGGGGGAGGGGAGACAGGGCAGCAGCAGGGGGTGGGTGGGTCACGATCCCACATACACCCCACGGAGTTAGCTTCCCAGCTCACAGCTCACAACCACAGAGTGCGTGCATGCGGCACCCGGCACCCACCTGGTTAATCTTCAGGGCCACTCCGAACGAGGCCGCACCCAGGTCCTGCAAGCCACACCAGCCCAGACCCAGCACCTGCAGCGGCCAAGGGGACGCGCCACGAGGCCAGGAGGCATGGGCGCCGGAGCGAGTGGCCACCCGGGCCACAACCTGTCACCCAAGTTGATAGCCCATGCGCCAGTGCCAAACAACAGCACCTGCGATACCGCCCCTTATGTGCGATGTATACATGTGCGATACCCCCCCTTATCCCCCTCTTCCCCCCCCACCCCAACATACACCCCCCCTTCAGTCCTCTCACCACCAGCACCCCTAACCCCGGTCCACCTGCAACGTGAGGTTGGGCTTTAGCCCCTCCGCCAGGTGCGCCACACCGCGGGGGCGCAGCTTGTTCCAGGACAGGTTCAGATCCGTAAGGCCCAGGTTGACCATCAGGACCTGTTGTGGGGAGGAGGCGGCGGCGGAGGAGCCGGACCAACTCAAACACGGGTTCCTGTCACCAGTGGAGCTCTTGTACGGCCCACCCCACCGCGTACGGCCACCCCACCGCGAGAACGCCAGAAAGGTCCGGTTCGGGCTGTCCTGAGTGCCATGGCGCCAGGACTGTGGCATGGTCCCCTGCTCCTTCCCTCCTACCGGCTCCCTTTTCCTCTTCCCTTCACCCCAACCCACACCCGGACCCACCTGGCCCAGTGCGTGCGCCGTCTTCTCCCCTAGGTCGTTACTGGACAGGTCCAGCTGCCTCAGCGCCGTGTTGTTCTCCAGGCAGTTCCCCAGCACCACGCCCTCGCGGTCGCCAAGCTTCATCTTGGCCAGGGTCAGGCTGCGGAGGACGGTGTTCTGTAAATAGGGATAGGGACACGGGGCACCGGACGGGCCGGCGCCGCGACGGAGTGTTACGAACGCCATCGTAACACGGACACAAAACAAAACTGCCCTCCCCGAAACCGGCCCTTTTGGCCCCGCTAAAAACTCCGCAACTGCTGACAAGGTATTCGGCCAACCCCGTCCAACCGCGCGCAGGACACACCGACAAAGCCTTGGGGCTCTTAACCCTTCCACCACCTGCCCAGCCGCATCGTGCCTGCTAGAGGGCCCCCCTTGCCGTGCCGTGCTGCGAGCCAGCCACATGGACCCGTAGCCCTCCCTCCCTGCAGCTATATGCCCTACCGCAAACCCCCTACCCACCCACCCACCCACACTCACTCACCCGGGACATGAGCAGGTCGGCTAGTGCCTTGGAGCCCAGTTGTCCCATCCGGTTACCAGACAGGTCCAGCAGCGTCACGGAGGCGTTATCCAGCAGCATACGCAGCAGCTCCCCGCAGCCCTCATCCGGAATGGCGTTATCCGCTAGCCGCAGAACCGTCACGTTCTGGTTGATGCGCAGTGCCCCGGCCAGCGCGCGAGTACCCTTGAGGCCCAGACCTGGTGGAAGTGGGAATAAGAGCAGCCGGAAGGGGGAGGCAAAGACGAACCACGAACGAGTGAAGCTGCTGCCAAGGAGAAGGGAGGGAGGGAGGGAGGGAGGAAGAGGGTTAGGACTCGTGCAGGTGAGGGCGCCCGGTTTACGATCGAGGTAATGTTATCGCTGATGCTGATGCTGAGGCCTGAGCACCAAGAGCACACGGGATGTTGAGAATCAGCTGCGGGGTGGGGCGGGTGGGGCGGGTGGGGCGGGTGGGGAGGTTCCACGCAGCCCAACCACGAGCTATGCGAGTCTATCTTCCCATGGGCATCTCGCCCCGGCTGGGCCCCTCACCCAACCAGCGTTTGGTAGACATGCCTCCCTCTGCCGCCACGCGCACCTGACCTGGTGTGCATGAGCACGCACGTCGTGTTACCAGCTGATAACCCCTTACCCAACTGACACCTCCCCCCAGGGGCTCCAGGTGACAACGTGGGTCCATGGCACGCGGGTGGTCCACCTAGCGGCCACCTGGGCGGGACCCTCCTTCAGAAACCCGCAGCTTGCCCACGGAGCACATACCCGCTCCAGGCGACCGGGCACATGCCAGCCAGTCAGCCACCTGGGGAGCCCACCAAGGCATAACGGCTCCTAAACCCCTTCGTTCCGCCTCCTCCACTGCTGCCTCTTCCTCTCGTTGCAAGAGGCTTCGGGCCGGCCCACCCATCCCAGAGCACGCGTCTAATGCGGCAGATCCGCTGCCGCGGCGCCAGCCAACTAGGCCCCCGCACCCGGCCTCCATGCGGCCGAATGATGATTCCGTACACACCATAATGCTCTACGTGTAGGGCCTCCAGTTCCAAGTACTTTAGGATCTGCGAGGCAGGACTGATACCCAGCTCCCGGCATAGCTCCAAGTAGCGCACGCGACCAAACTGATCCTCCTCCGGAAGTTCATCTGACAGCACACAAAAAATGCAAAAGGAAAGGACAACGAAAAGAACAGGGCAAGCCAGGGGAGAAGCCGGTAAGATGCAGGTGCTTATAGCTTGGCAGGGAGAGCCCGGAGGCGAGGGAGGCCTTCGGCCGAGGGCCATTTCGATCTCCTGTGCCCAGCAGGGACCTGCCGGGGGAAGGGTTTTGGCTTGCGAGGAGGTGGATATGCCAAGAGGCAGCAGGGGAGAGCGGCGCCAATGCGGCCCGGCCACCGCGACAGTACTGGGGCTGTGCGGAGCTGTGATGTGCTGGCCGCCGTGTGGTCCCCACCAAACCAAGCAAATCAAGGGAACGGAAAGCTTGCAGTCAGGGAAGGCGGCTGTGACCCTTGCATAGGTTTGCCAGGCTTTTATAGAGCCTCGACATTGTAAGGGCTAGGAGGCTGGACAGCTGTGGCTCGCTCCCATGCACTATGCTAGCAGCTGACCGGCAGGTTGTGGGTGTGTCGTGACCGGTGCGGCAGAGCCGTGCAGACCTGGAACTGCTTCGACGCGGTTTGCGTGCAAAAAAGTGTCCAGTGGACTGACACACAATCGAGGGGCTGAAAGCTGTTGCCAGTCAATTTCGAAAATGGGTAGAGAAACGGGACGGCCGTTGCAACTGTATCGGCCAAAGTTGTGCGTGCACACAGTTGCCAGCGCCGGCCGGGTAAAGGACAAGTGAGCGCACTAGGTTTGCTTGCAGTATGGTTGCACGTCGGCACGAGACGCTAGAGCTTGATCGGGCCGCAAGCTGCAGATACTAGCCGCTAGGGCGGTGGCTAGTAAGCCACGCGTCTGCGTATGCGGACTTCCTGATTGCAAAGTGCAATCAAAACAACGCAACCATCTTTTCCCAGACTGCCTGCAAAGCTTGTTATCAGAACACCCCGTCGGCCATCCTAAGACATGTCTGGTCAGGGCACCTCCCCCAACCGAAACATCCCTAGTCAAAACCCTCGTACCTTCCAGCAGATCGTCATCCTCATCGTCCGCTTCGTGCCGGTTGGGCATTGTGCCCTTTCAGGCTGGAGAGATAAAAAAGCGAAACTCTAACGATAACCTTTCTGCCGTGATATCTTATTCTTATCTTTGTATGGCAATTATCTTTAACCTTTAGAGATAAGGAAATAAACAGTGCAAATCGAGGAACTTCGCCATGGACGTTGGACACGACCGTAAACTTATAAAAACTTGAGAAGCCTCTCAAGGCTTTTCCATAACATTAGCATTCGATATTCGACGGAAATTGGGGAAACTACCCAACCAAGAGGTGCCGTACGTTAGTACATATGTTTCTGGATCTGTGCTCCGTAGCTTGTATCCTTGGACTCCATCATTTCATCTGTGCTAGGCGGACTCAAAGGTAGACAGGAGGGCGTGTGCAATTCTGCTTGTGCGCGCCGACATACACTCGCTTCCATTTTTTGCACACACACCAAACCCAAATCGCCCAGTGAAATCTATTACTATCATGTTAGCTTGCCGTGTTCCAACTAGCGCCGTTGGGGTTTGCAGCAAGCCTCAGCGCCGTGCACTCGCTGCGCCAATCTCCTCGCGGGTGGCTGTCCCACGGAGCCGGCAAGTCACATGCCAAGGCTTGTTTGGTCTAGGGCTTCCAGAGGTTGCAGTTATTGCTGGTGTAGCGGCTCTGGTCTTTGGGCCGAGCAAGCTGCCTGAGCTGGGCAAGACGCTCGGGAAGACAGTCAAGAGTTTCCAGACGGCGGCCAACGAGTTTTCTGAGGAGTTGAAGGCAGGCATGGCGGAAGACCCCAAGAAGCCAGCTGCTGAAGAGCCGAAGAAGACGGATTCAAGTTAGGGGGTCGCGTGGCGTTTGACGCTGGATTTCCTGGGAATGGGGAACCCCCCCGCGGCGATAGCGTGGGCTTGCACCTAGCCATCCAGGCGGAGTAGGCGGTGTTAATAGAGCCGGATGGCGAGCTTTCGGGCAAGGCGCCGTTGTACAGGGTTGGGGGATGCGAACACCAGATTTTTCCGTGCAGTTATCGGCGCTGTATTGGTTTTGCTGGTGGGGAGAGGAATGTCGTTATCCGTCGTGCGCTGCGTACCTTCTGTGACATGCACTGACATGGCGAAAAGAATTCACGGCAGCATGTAACGCGGTTACGGAGCATCCCAAGAGGGCCTTCTTCCCGCGCAGCATTTTTGCGGTGTATGTGTGGCAAGTGGAAGCAGCGGAGACAATACATCTGAACTTCTATGTTGAGCATTCTGTAAGCTTCTATTGACTGTCGCCCGAGGCCCACAGCCACAGTAAATACCACCACCATGCCAGGGAGAGATGCTGGTGAGAACGGAGTGCCACTGCCTTCATATAATCTTTTATATAGCCATATATTGAAAAATTGCGGTCGCAGGCAAGGCTAAGCCCCTGAAGGCTCCGAAGAAGGTATGCCCACAGGATTTGGGCTACGTGCCTGTGGAATGCTGTTGGGGATTTGCATATACGATATCAACGTTATTAGCAGCTCCTAGAACAGCAAGTTGACCGGCACGCTAGGCTCTCGTTGTGGAATGGTGGCGGCGACAGCGACGGCAGTTAGTAGAAGCCATCGGTATATATTGGAACATGCTTTGCACCGATCATAGTCATGTCGGAGCGCGGTGTGTGCCGACAGCAACAAACATCTGCCTTCCCGCGATTGCAGGCTGAGAAGGACTATGACGATGCAGACTTGGAGTTCCTAGCCAAGAAGAAGGCGGAGGAGGCTGCGTTGAAGGAGCTGAAAGCAAAGGTGTTCAGCGGGGAGTGGGAAGGCTGGGGCGGACGGTAGTTAGCCAAGCAGGCTTGCGCGTGCTCCTGCATCAGAACCCGACTTCAGACTCTTTGCCAGCAAATGTGTCGGTTGGGCGTCACCTCCGGGGAAGAGGTTGCTTTGACGGAACGTGCCACCTGCGAAATGTGGTTTGGCTCCGGATTTATAGGCTGCGGTTGCATGCTGTTAAACACCGGTTAAACACCGATGGCCGATAAGCATCTGCATCACTGACCCGAGCGGGGGGCCAAAATGACCCTCGGTCACCCCAGCTAGAAGAATATTTTCATGACCCGCAGTAAAGCCTTGCTAGCAAGGCAGGCATTTCTGTCACAGTTGCCCTTACGACCGCACAGGGTGCACTAGGTGCGCTGATGTATGTCGCCCCTAGTTATGCGCTTGTAATTTGCCCTGTTCCCTTTCCATGCAGGCGGCCAAAGGTGCAATCGGGGGCGCGGGCCTGAAGAAGTCTGGCAAGTAAGAGCCCCTCCCAAGTGTTATGCCGTACAGCTGCACATCGCAATCCCCAGACTGGTAGCCGGAGCTGCCGCCGCAGTGGAAAGCCGGGACAGCCGTAGCACACCTCCCAGGTACAGCAAGGAAGCTGCGCAGAGCACATGGCAGAGCCATCATCAGAAAAAGACCGCCCGCAACCTTGCTGGCTCTGCGAGGTGTTTTTCCGAAACATGCTGCACAATGTAGGCAGAGACATGCCGAAGTCTTACAACAGCAACATTGGTAATTCCGCGATGGCAGCAATTCCGGAGCGAGTGAACGCTGACAGGATTGAGGACTATGATCGAAGTCAGGGCATAGGAAGAGCTGAAGGTGACGGCTCGGTGTCCAAAGACTGCCTCGGCTGTAGGGTGACGGGCTGCTTGTTCGGTTTGGGGGGTGCGGCGTACCTGGGGTCGACGCTGCTGCTGCAAGAATCCCCCCCCAAGGGTGCACACCGGTACTCAGTGATTGCGGCTGCGGGTACTATGTTCCTGCTCGGCATGTACCGTGCATTGGGTTGATGTAAATACACTCTGCTGTCGAGTCCGGTGGGCCGTGCTGTGTCCATAAGCGGCGACTTTGGCCGTTCATGTCGCGACCTGAACTGACGACGGACGTCTATCTTGCGAGATCAGTTTTCACTGGGGTTACCAACTGAGTATCGGATTGGGTTCTGTGTGCGTGGATATGCTCTTGGAATAAACGACCCAGGTCGAGTCGCAGGCCTCACTGAACATCCAGTAAACTTGTAAACTCAAGCTTACTTGCACAAATCTCAAAATAATGCCTGCCAGCCGGCTGGATCTCAATCGCAACGCCAGGGATTGTTGTCTGCATCCCACAAGAATCATGTCAATTAACAGCCATGCAGTATATATCGGTTGCGCATTGGAAGTTGAGATGGTTTCGCATGATGCTCATAACCGCAGAAAATGAGTTTGGAATCTGTTTCGAATAGCAACGCCATAACTTTGGCCCTTCATGGAAGCAACCCGTACAAACTCTAGCGCCCTTTTCCGGAGAGGCCACAGAGACACGGTCCCCATGTGCTGTCAACGCACACCCCACAAAAAGAACAATTTAGAACCCTCCCTCGCCGCATACGAATTGTCGTACGTTTGGCAAAAGACCACACCGATGACCCTTAGAACCCGCCGTACATCAGGGCCTAGGGGCCCTGGAAAAAAACTCTCGCAAGGATTCCGTCCTGTGTGCACAAGGAAGCTCCAACTAGGGCTCAAATGTTGCACACCCAGAACAGAGATTACACCCAGCTAACAACCGACGACGACGACAACGGCCTCGCAGCACTCTCAGACGGGGCTAGCCGCGAAACGCTGCCTCCAAAGGCTGCTTAGCTCCGAGTAAATATCATCCACGGGCCGGTCCGTGCTGATGGTCGTCACCTTGCCAATGGCCCGGTAATAATCTAATACAGGCGCCATCTGGGACTTGAAGTTCTGCATGTGTGTGCGCCAGGTTGTGGACAAGAGTATTGCCGCAGAGCACATGCGAGGTATTTTGTGCGCGAACCGTTCTGGGGACAAGCTACGCTCTTCAAGTCCACAATGTCAGTAATGGATCAAAACTGTTCGCCGCTATCCTCTCGCCGTATCCTCCCAATCCATCTTACCCAGCGCCCGCCCGCCCTGTGCCCTATCAGCTCCCCACCTGCCCATCTCCAACCCTCCCACCTACTTCCCATCACACCCCTTTCCAACGCCCGCTCCGCACACATACTTCCACATATTCACCTGCACCCGCTTCTTGATCGTCTCCTCGTTGTCATCTGCACGGCCCTCGGCGCGACGCCTCAGCCGCTCCACCATCACTTCCTCCGGGCAGTCAAACAGCAACACCAGCTCACAGTCGTACCCCACCTGGCGTCGGCGGCAACGACAGGTGCACAGAGGCACGGAGTTGGCAAGGGTAAAACCATGATGCGGAAAGCTCCCCCACCTCCGGGCCACACGTGCGCTACGCAGACCTGAACTACCGATGGCAGGCAGGCGCACTGATAGCTCCAGTCCCACCCCATGTCACCGAGATCCTCCCTAAAACGCCGCCTTGCGCTTATGTCGCGCCCTATCGCATCCCGTCCTATGCCATCCGGCGTCCCCGTCCCCGGGGCACCAGGCTGGCGAAAAGAGTGGCGGCGCAACAGCAGAACAGGAGCCCCCCTTCCTCAATTTACGTCCAGCACGACGTGCCCGCGTCGGATGCTCTGCCCAGTATCCAGGGACCATGCTCTGCTGGTAAATCGAAAATTTAAAAATAGCACCTAGGAATAAAATTGCCCACTACGCACAGAGTGGGCTGCGATCTGCGCGAGTGAAAAACCACACAGAACGGAGTCGCCCCAAGAGCGGCAGAAACGGAAAAAAAGATGCCTTCGTACATTTCCCCCGCAACCCTTCTTCTGGCCTCCACACACGCACCTGGCTCTGCCACACGGTCCTGTTCTCCGTGTTGCGCGGGAAGCCGTCTATAAGTACCGTGTCCGACGTGGCGCTCGCCATGGCCTTCTGGAGCAGCCCGACCGTCACCTGGACAGCCGCGGAGGCGGGAAGAAGTGTGGAAAGTATGGAAGTAAGCTAGGCGAATTAGAGAATCCACGCAAAGACATTGGGGAGACTGGGGAGGCTGGTAACCGTGGTCGCCGAACCTGTGTGTGTGTGTGTGTATGTGTTAATGGTTTTGGAAGGGCTGATAGCGGCCGATAGCGTCCCTAGTGCTGCAATTACTGCAAAGCAGTGGTCACTCTTGAGAGACCCCGCGCTTTCACCTGACGAGGGGTCTAGAGGGGCAGGCCCTGCTACATGAGCCCTCTGAGCTCTTAGCTCAATCTGGGCAGTACCCAACGCGACACTTGTCGTGGAACTTGCTACTGCTGACCTAGAGAGCTCTTCTCGGGGCGTCAACGCATCATCGGTGTGTTCCTTTTCGCCTTTCTTCCCCGCACAAATGTGTGTATGTATGTATGTATGTATGTATGTATGTATGTATGTATGTATGTATGTATGTATGTATGTATGTATGTATGTATGTATGTATGTATGTATGTATGTGTGTGAGTGTGCAGGACTGGCCTCCCTAGAGCACATCCTAGCTCCCCACCCGCTTGACAAGGCCTGACTATACCCTCTTAACCACCCCGCCACATGACCAGGTGCTCCCGGAATCCGCGAGCCCGCCGCCCCAACCAAGCCCAGCTGCTCTCTGTACTGGCGCTGATAGCGCTGATAAACATGCCTCCCTCCCTCCCTCCCTCCCTCTTTCTTTCCCTCCCTCGCCGTACCTCAGACGGTATAATCTGGCCCTGCAGGATAATGTCCTGTAGCTGCTTGCCTTCGGGGCATCCGGAGGCAATGAGCGAGCGGATGAGGTCTCCGGTGCTGAAGAAGGGAACACCGAAGTCCCGAGAAATGAGGTCGCACTGGCGGGGAAGGCGGCAGGGAAGGCGGGGAGGGAGGGATGGCAAGGTGGATGGATGCCCTTTGAAAGACGGAGCGGGAAAGGGGCGAATGGAGCAGGATGGCCGAATGGAGCAGGATGGCCGAATGGAAGTATTGGACACCCAGAAGAGACGGTGCTCCAGGTCTAGGCGTGTACGACAGACCTTGCAGGCCTGCAACCCTGACGTCGTCCGCGCCTTGGAGACCGGTCTGGGCTGATGGCATGTGCTAGTTCCGAATGGCGCGCCGCCATGAGCCCGAGTGAGCCCGAGTGAGCCTGAGTGAGCCTTTGTGCAAATAAGCTAGGAGTCGTTTGCAGGGCCTGGCCGAAGGCGTAAAACTCCTGATGCGTTTCAGCCCCTCCACACAGCTCTGCCGGCTCTCGACTGCCATTTAACCCCCCCCATCCCCCATACACACATACACACACAGACGCATACAACCTGGTCGCGTTCCAATCCGATTTTCTTCACAGGCTCTCTTTGCCTGTCGCCTGCCATCCTACGGGTTGTGCCCCCGTGTTCAACCCGTGATTGCAGGCGCGACACCTCATCACCGCTTACCTGCGTCCCTTTCCCCGACCCCGGTCCGCCAACAACAAAGACAACTCGCTTTTGCTTGACACTTTCCGTCTTAGGTGGCGCCTCCTGCGATTTGAGCCCACACACCATTGGACAGGTTTGAGATCCGGGGAAGGGTATCCGGAGCGCGACCGACACGCTGACAAATGCTTTATGTCCCAGCGCAGAACAATTGCGCCGCGAACAGTCACATATACGTAATATGCAAGGCAATTTTGCTATTGCAAGGGTCTCATGGTATACGCAGACAAGAACCGCCCGACTCGCTCGACGGTCGCAGGAAAGCTTGATCAAGCGCTCATATTGCATACCGATGCTGTCGCCATTTGGAATGCCTGCGCTTTTACTATGCGATGGCAGCTGCTTGGCCTTCTTGAGAGCAGTCCCTGCGATGGAACAACTGCGATGTGCAAGACCTCCCAATGGCAAGCGGGGAAATTATTGAAATTTGATCGCACCTTTACACCAGGCGATGTACACCTTAGGAGACGCCCTGTTCGGCACAGTTGCCTAAGGCCTGCCTCGCCAACCATGGACATCGCCACCAAGTCGCCAAAATTGCTGGCAATAAACAAAGGAAAAAGTGACTCAGGACAATTTCTACGCAAGCGGGTGGGGGTGGAGTTGCAAATGTTCGCTGAGGGTTTCTAAACAATGTCGTGCATCAACAATGCGTCTGATTTGTTTCGCGAGCCGACATGATACTATTTAGTTATGTTATGATAACAAAGGCGCAAATCAAGGTTTCCTGTAGGACGCTATACACATTAGGCTTTGCTGTAAATTCCGAACGACGGTTTGCAACGACCAAAGGTAGTTCCGCTTTCGCTGGCACTCGTACTTTCCTTTTCATCTTCCACTTGAACAATATGTGGTGTATTGTTACTTAAACACACAATTCATTGCTAAGTAGCGCCGCCAAGTTTTCCCGCCGCCGCATCGTCCGTGAGCAGCCGCACGGTGCAGCGGAGGCACCACTATGGTGAAAGCATACCTTCGATATGAATTCTCAGCCGCTTTCGGGGTCATTACGAGCTCTGCGAACCCTACGTATGACGCGAGCGGGAAGCTGCTCTTCACCGCATCGCTGGAGAACATTTCCGTTTGGAACGCCAAGCAAGGCAGCCTGGTGAGCGGCTCGCTTAGTGGCAGCAACACGGCAATTCCTGTATGCGCCATCTGTTGCCGTGCGGCTCAGCCCACACTTTTCCCAAAACCGGGTGTCATGCTTAGCGTCAAACAATGGCGAAGCTCTCACAGCATTGGGGAATAAACGAATCCCCCTCTCTATTGCCTGGGAGGGGGTCCGGCTCAATCCCTAATGGCCGGGCGGGTCCAGGCAAATGTCTTTGAGGGGGATCGCACAAGACCCTGTGCGTTTTTGTGCCCGCGTACGCTATTCCTCCACTCCCCTCACCTTCCCATTAGCTTTTACCTCCAAATCTCCCCTCCCTGCCCTGCGCCGCAACCTCACCCCGGCTTCCCCTCCCCCGTCAACTCCCCCACACCCTGTCTGCCGACATGCAGGTACGGCAGCTAAGCCCCGTTGTAACCAGCACCAGTACCGGTTCCGGAGCCAGTGGCGGCGGTGTTGCGGAGGTGACAGTGCTCTGCTGCGCCCCCGGCAGCGCCACCATCGCCGCGGGGTACTCGGACGGCACGGTGAGACTGCCGTGTTGCTACAACAACTCAGCTGGGCCCCCCGCAACCTCCTCTCACAGCCGCCCAACGGCAACAGGCTTTCACGAAGGGGTGTGCACGGACGGTGGCCTATGCAGCACGTCCCACCCGGACGCGCATTCTACCCACCCCTAAGCGTTGCTGCGGCCGTTAGTGGCCCACCCCCCCGCTCCCCCCCGTGGCGGACTGGGACTGGGACTGGGGCGCGGTCCGCCCGTGTTTCCCTCTTTCCCCGTTTGCCATCTGAGTGGCGGACTGGGTGGCGGACTGCCCGGTGCAGTATAACCAGTCCCTGCCCTCGCCCTCTCTTCCTCCATCTCCTTCCCCGCGGCTGGGGGGGCCCGGGCGCCAGGAGCTCGGGGGTTGCTGCCACATTGCAAAGCCTTCTTGGTCTTGGGAGTCCCCCTCCTTCCCACGGCACTTCCCTCTCTCTCCATCCTCCCGCGCCTCTGTCCGTAGGTGCGGCTCTGGGACTACCTCTCTGGGGAATGCAGTGTCACCTTCCGGGGACACAAGGTCAGTGGTGTGGGGGGAAGGGCGGGGCAGTGGCAGGGGCTGGGACTGGCCTAGACTGGCCTAGGGAGCGGCTGTACACCCGCGCGGGAAGGAACGAATGGATGGGATGATGGGACGTTTGTGTTGTCCGGGAAGCTCTACCTTTGCGAGCCATGCTTTGGTGCCTCGCCCTCATCCCTCCTGCGTCGCACCTCCTCCCTGCCTACTGCGCACCCTGGGACCGCTCCTTGCCTCACCCCTGGCCCCATTCTTCCCACCTCCCGCCCCAGACCGCCGTATCCTGCCTCCGCTACAACGGCGGCGGCTCTCTGCTGGTCAGCGGCGGTCGGGACACCGACCTGGTGGTGTGGGACGTGGTGGGGGAGACGGGGCTGTACCGCCTGAAGGGGCACAAGGACCAGGTCACGGATGTGGTGAGCGAAGAGGGAGGGAGAGAGAGCAGGAGGGATACGACACAGCGCAGACGATAGACAAATACTGCATCGGGAATAAGAGGAGGAGGGAGCAGGACGGCATGGGAAGTAAAGAAGGCAAAGCCGTTTGTATGTTTGTTATTGTTTTGTCTTGTTCTACCGGTTTCGTCGGTTATCGGCGCGGGTAGCAGGTCGTGAGAGGCGGGGGTCGCTAAGAGGGGGAAGAAAACACGAGAGACTGCACGTCACGACACGATACTGCCAGACCAGAGATATCTGTTCAAACCCCAACACGGTGGCGGCTTTGCTGCGGTAAGCTTCACAACTCGCACACTCGCGCCACTACGACCATTCGCCCTACCCGCGCAATCCGTCCGTACACATCTGTCCGTACACATCCGTTCATACACCGCAAGCGCACATGTGCACCCAGCCCGCTACCACCAACCCGCAAACTCCTCTCCGCCCCACCTGGGCACCAGTACACTGCCGTCGTACACCCCCATGTAGCACCTCCTTTCCCCCCCCCTTCCCTCCTTCCCCCGACCCACAGCACTGGAACCCAAAACACACCACAGTCATATCATGACCGAGAAACACTTTCGCACATCCCCCTCCCCCCTTCCCCGTGCTCTTTCAGTCCTTCTTGCCCGGGCAGTCCAAGTTGGTCTCCTGCAGCAAGGACGGTCTGGTCAAGGTGTGGGATCTGGACACACAGCACTGTTGCCAGACCCTGACGGGGCACAAGGCGGAGGTCTGGTCACTGGATGTCAACCCCGCGGGGACGCGGCTCGCCACCGGGTCCACGGACAATGAAATTCGCGTCTTCGCCGTCAGGTGGGTCCTGCAGCCGGGTGTGGATTTGTGTGTAGGGTGGGAGATGGGAGTGGGCGGGGGGGGGCCGGGGGGACAAGAGTCGCCTCAACGGAGGCCGGTGACTCAACACTCCGTCGTATTGCACTGTGTATTGCACTGTACTGCACGGCGGGAGGTAACGGGAAACATCCCGCCCCGGATCCAACCACGCACACACAAGCACAATGGAGCCCCCCAACAGTTCCTCTGGTTATGATATCATGAGAACACCGCATCATGTTCTAGGTGATTTATTGTGTTGTTAGGGGTGCGCCGCGGGAGCTCAGGACCCTGTGTGTGTGTGTGTGTTACGCTTCCTGGAAGCAGGAACCCGGAGACGGAGGCGGTGGAGGTGACAGGAGGCGGCGGTGCGCCTGCCGCGGGTGGTGCTGCTCCGGGTCGGGAGGATCGCGACCACATTGTGCTGGTGGCCATGGGGTCTGTGAGGCGGGGAGCTGCCGCCCACGAGCGGGTGGCCATGCTGCGGTTCAGCGGCGATGGGGAGTGGCTGGGTGTGCAGGCGGCTGGCAAGGGGCTGGAGCTATTCAGGTGAGTTGGGGGAGAGGAGGAGGAGCAGGGGCGAGCAGGCTTGGCGGATTGTTGAGGGGGTGGTTGGGTCGGGGAGGGGATATGCCCCGGGGGGCCCACCCGGGGTGGGGAAGGCTTGGCGGCACCCAGGGCTCGTGCCGGCATGTCGACGCGACATCGCGTGCTTCTGGAGTGGTTTGGCTCCGGCGTTGTAGGGTGAGGCATGCTGGAGGTATATGCGTGGCAGGCAGGTGGCTATTGCGCGGCCGTTGGGTGTGGTGACGTGGTGTGTTCCGGTGGACCTGACCTTCTCCCACTGACCTTACGCGGTGCTCCTGTTCTGTAGAGTCCGGGATGAGGATGAGGCACGGAAGAAGCTGAAGCGACGCAAGCGGCGGCGGAAGGAGAAGGTCGCGAAGAAGGCCGCGGGGCGGGCAACAACGGGCAGTAGCAACAACAACAACAACCAGCAGCAGAAGAAGAAGACGGCGGAGGGAGACGCCGCTGCCAGCGACGAGGACGACGGAGGTGACGGCGGCGGTGATGATGACGAGGACAACACAAAGGCAAGACTGGGCTTATCTCCTTGCCGTGTATGGGACTGTGACGCGCGCGTGTGACGGCTCCATGGAGGGAGTAACCGTCTATCTCGGCTTTCAGCTGCATTCGTCTGTGGTTCGTCTTCTCCCCATTGACCTCCCATAACCCCGGCCTTTCAAATGCCCTCTTCAGGCCTCTGACGAGCTTGAGGCGGTCCAGCTGGTGAGCAGCAAGGGCGCCAAGATCAAGGCGTTTTGCTTCGCGCCGCCGGCTGTCAAACTAGCCGCCGGGGTGGCGTGTCGGCTGGTGCTGTCGCTGTCGAACAACTGCATCGAGGTGTGCGGTACGGGGGTGGGTGGGCTGATGGGGGCGAGGGAGCTGCGGGTGTTGGAATGGCTGAAGTACCGGTCTGTCTGTCTATCTGTCTGCCTGCCTGCCTTGCTCATTCTCAGGCATGCATCTGCCCCCGGCCCCCTCCTCATTCCTGGTCCCCTTAGCTTGTTCCTCTCCCTTGGCCTGACCGTCAATCCACATCTTGGTAACTGACCCTAACCCCGCTGGTGCGTAAACACCTCCCGTACATCCCCTCCCATTCCCATAGATCCTCAACGTCGCCTCCGAAACCCACTCGTACGACACCGCCTCCCGCATCGACCTTGGCGGTCACCGTTCCGACGTCCGCGCGCTGTCCCTGTCCTCGGACGACTCCGCGCTGCTGACCGCCTCCTCCGCCGCCCTCAAGTTGTGGAACCCCCGCACGGGCTCGTGCCTGGCCACCATGGACAGCGGGTACGGGCTGTGCGTGCTCTTCGCACCCGGGAACAAATTCGCGGTGATCGGGACCAAGGTGGGGTGGGGCTGGGGTTGGGGGTGAGTGGGCGGGGAGGGAGGGGCTGGGGGCCCACCTTGGGGCGTTGGGGTGTGTGGCTTTTGACTCCACTTGTCTGTCCGGGGAGTGGAGGGAAGGGCGGGGGAGGAGAGAGAATCTGTATAGAGGTGTAGATGAGTGGGGAGGGGGCCCTCGTTGAGGAGCTGACTGAGCCGCGTGTAACCCAGGAGCCACTCACCCACCCACGCACCCCTCCAAGGGACCCCCCAACCCCTTGACAACCCCACCCCGGGGGTACTTCGTCAGTTATCTTTGCCTCCTCTCAGAGCCGTGTATGTATGTATGTGTGTGGGGTGGGGTGGGAAGGACGGGGCTGTATCCCCGGGGGCGGGAAGGTGTCCTCCCTCGCCCACTACATCACCAACTGGGACCCACCACCACTGCCACCACCAGGCCACTTGATCCACTGCCACCACCCCACTGTTGGAGTTCTGGCCACAACCCGCATTTACCCCTTGAGTCAGTGGCAAAGTTTTAGCCAGGCTTGACCTTTACTACTACTACACGGCTACTACTACTACTGCTACATCCTCAACAACTACGCTGCATATCAACGGCTTCAGCGTCAATCCTGACACCACCAGATGACGATTACATTAAAAATGTCGGCACCATGCTGTGGCTTACCCCGGGTTGATGTGACTTCATCGCTGTGAACTCCCTCACTTGTCACTGGGGGCAGTTTCGGACCTCTTGGACGCCTTCCGGCAGGCGGCAGCTCATTGCTGAACTTGGCGCATAGGGTTCCCCCACCCTCTGCCCCCACCCACTGCCCCCACCCTCTGCCCCCACCCACTGCCCCCACCCACTGCCCCCACCCACTGCCCCCACCCACTGCCCCCACCCACTGCCCCCACCCACTGCCCCCACCCACTGCCCCCACCCACTGCCCCCACCCACTGCCCCCACCCACTGCCCCCACCCACTGCCCCCACCCACTGCCCCCACCCTCCAGGAAGGCACCTTGGAGGTGTTCGACCTGGGTGCCGCCACCCGGGTGCATGTGGAGGAGGGGGCGCACGGGGGGGCGGTGTGGGCGTTGGCGCCGCTGCCCAACAAGACCGGCTTCTTCAGCGGGGCCGCGGACAAGACCGTGAGTGAGGGGGGGGTGGGGGGGCTGACGGGGGGGTGTGCCTGCGGGTTTGAGCGGTGGTGGTGAGGAGGCGTCAGGTAGCGGACAGGGAGGGTGGGGCTAGCAGCGCCAGCTGTCGCTGCCGCTATTGCAGCTGCTGCAGTAGGGGGGGAATGGGCCGGGAAGGTGGGGTATTGGAGAGGGTGTGGGGATCCGTAGCTGGGTTTTTCCCCTCCACCCTTCCCCCATCCATCCACATTACGACTGCATTCAGAGGGCAAGAGACAGGGCCTTCTCCTCCACGCCTTCTTTCGCCTCCCTGACCGCGTCGCCTACCGGCCCCCCCTCCTGGGACTGGTGTGTGTATGTGTGTGTGTGTGTTTTTAGGTCAAGCTGTGGCACTGGTCAGTTGTCAGCCTGGAGGGCGGCTCCAAGTCCCTGAGACTAGCGCACGTGCGCACTGTGCCCATGGCGGATGATGTGCTGGCAGTGCGTTGCAGTCCGGACGGCAAGCTGCTCGCCGTGGCACTGCTGGATGCGACTGTCAAGGTACGCATTACGTATGTGTGTATGCATGTCTGTCTGTCTGTATGTATGTGGGTGATGGGATGGTTGAGGCGGGTGGAGGAACGAGGTAATAGAGCCAGACGGGGATTGGCGGACAGATTGCTTGAGGTGGTGTGCTGTCGTGTTCTGTTCTGGGACGTTGCAGCTCGGCAGCCTGACAGCTCTACCCCGCCAGGAATCCACCCTCCCTCCCAGTCCCGGTGGTATTGGCGCATCTATTGCATGTCCGCGATATGCGAGGATGGAGTTCCCGATTTATAGAGCGGTGCCCACAACCCACCCACCCACCCACCCACCCACCCAACCCAACCACCCTAGCTAGCTAGCTTGCGGCTGAATCGCAGTCTGAGCTGTGAGCTGTGGGACTCAAACCCGTCTCCGTAAGGGGGGATGTTTTCCGAAGCTTCATCCCATCTCCTCCTCATGATGACGATAGTGATACATGTGCAACACACACACACACACACACACACACCACACACACACATCATCGGGGGCGAACTCGGGTCGCCATTACCCTAACTTGCCACTACTCCGAAACCCTGCCCTATCACCCGCACCTTGCCGTCACTCCCCGCCCGCCCTCCGGTGCCTGTGTGTCTCTGTGTATGTCTGTGTATACGCAGGTGTACTTTGCGGACAGCATGAAGTTCTTCTTGTCCCTGTACGGCCACAAGTTGCCCGTACTGTGTATGGACATATCCTCGGACTCCTCAATGCTGCTCACTGGTTCCTCAGACAAGAATATCAAGGTTTGTGTGGGGGGCCCCCCCTGGGAGGGCAGGATCGCTTCCCGTCCTTTCTCCAACAGCTTCCTTACACACACGCACACACACACGCACACACACACGCACACACACAGACAGACACACAGACAGACAGACCGCCATCCTAATTGACCGTCCTTTCCCCTCCCCGGCGCGTTGCTTCATTAAGTCTGGGCTCTCTTCATCTCTCTTATTAAAGTCCCCGTCCCGGCCGACAGGTGTGGGGTCTGGATTTCGGTGACTGTCACAAGTCCTTGTTTGCTCACGGTGACGCGGTCATGTCGGTGGCCTGGGTGCCCGGCACCCACTACGCCTTCTCCGCGGGCAAGGACCGGCTGCTCAAGTACTGGGACCTGGACCGGTTCGAGCTGCTGCTGGAGCTGCCGGGGCATCACGGGGAGGTGTGGTGCTGCGGAGTCAGCCAGTTTGGGGATTTTGTGATTACAGGTGGGCGAGTGGTGGGTGGGTGTATGTATGTGTGTGTGTGTGTGTGTGTGTGGCGGAGGCTGGGTCGGCTCGGCGAGGTGAAGGGGTTGCGGAGTGAATGGGGGGCTGGCCGTGTTGAGGGAATCCAGGTATGTCCGGTTCCCGACGACAACCTGGGAGGAGTTCGCCATTTCGCACAGCTAATTCCGCCTGTCTGGGACTTGGGCCTAAGGACTGCCGTTTCTGGCTTCTCCTGTTCGAACTCCTTGTGACCTATGTTTAAATACCGCCGATTCCTCCTCCTGCCGCTGCTGGTGCTGGTGCCGCTGGCGCTGCTGGTGCTGGCGGTGCTTCTCCTCTGCTCTTTGCATCTTCTCAGGTTCCCACGACCGGTCCATTCGGCGGTGGGAGCGTACCGCAGAGCCGTTCTTCGTGGAGGAGGAGCGGGAGCGCCGACTGGAGTCGCTGTTCGAGGCCGACATGGAGACTACCGCCGCAGACAGAGACGCCGCCGCCGGTGCCGCCGGCAACGACGCCACCGGCACCGCAGCGGCGACACCCGCGGGTCGTCGTACACTGGAGGCCGTCAGCGCTGCCGACGCCATCATCGACGCACTGGAGGCGGCGGCACTGGAGATGGACAGGTTGCGTACGGCAGACCGCGAACGTGCTGAGGCGGCGGCGGCGGGGCGTCCGCCTCCACAACCTCTGCCCCCCAACGCGTTGCTGGCCGGTCTGGCTCCCAGCGCCTACGTGCTCAAGGTCGTTTCGGGGGTGCGAGCCAGTGAGCTTGAGCAGGCAGTCATGATGCTGCCGTTTGCGGATGCTTTGCGGCTGCTGGGGTACCTGCCACAGTGGCTGCAGGCCGGTGGGCCGGCGGTTGAGCTGACGGTACGGCTGGCAGTGCTGTTGGTGCGTTTACACCAGGGGCAGTTGGTGGCGACGGCGGCGGCGAGGCCAGTACTGCTGGCGCTGCAGCGGCGGCTGCGTGGCGCGGCTCAGGGGTTGAAAGACGTGGTGGGATTCAACTTGGCTGCGATGTCGCACCTGACGAGGCGGGCGAGGGAGCGGGAGGGGGTCACGGAAGCGGACGTGATCGTGCCGGCCAAGAGGCAGCTGCTGGGGAAGGGCGCGTGAGGTGTGTGTGTGTGTGCAGATGTGTTTATGTACTTTAAGATTTGGCTGAGCAGCCAGACTGGGTGTGTATGGTGGTATCCTGTGTAGCCATAGAGTAAACGAAGTGAGGAAGATTTCGGGACGGAGGGCGCAAGGAGTGGTTTTGGATAGGGAAGGGATTGGATCCGCGCTTGACTGTCGTTGCTGCTTTGCCGAGCGAGCCGGTGGTGTTCACCCGTTGAGCGCTTGGCGGCGATTGGGCGATGGCACGGGACGGTGTTGTTGGAGTAAGTTTATTGACCGGAGCTGCCGGGTGCGACGACGGCATGGCTTGTGGCCAGGCTTGCAACTTAACTTGTAGGCGCCTTTGACAAGATTTAGGAGACCTTTGTGTGAACGGCTTTACGTGGCCAAATGAGGGGGTACACTGAAAAACTGGAAAGGATGATACGACGGCGTCGTTACGCCTGAACGGCTTACAACGGACGTCGTTGACAGTTGTACGCTTCACTTTGTTTTCTCCTTCGTTACAAGATCGTGGAGCGATTATGGATACCCAAATCACATTTCAACCCCCAAGTCCTTGCGTCTGCATATTAAGTATTCTGCAAATAACGCAAAACAACAACCTATGATGCTGACCCTGCGCACCACAGAGAGGGTTGCGTCCCTACTAGAAGAGGCGGCAAGTTGTTCAGATATCTTGGAGGTGAGATTTTCATAATAAGAGCTTCGTAATTTCCGGGCTTCACCGCGCGAACTCACGCAGACGGTAAAAGCTGATGCAGCAAAATTGCGTGGAGCTGACAGCATACCCTGGGAGAACCTCAAGGCGATTGCGGAAGAACTGAGGTGCATGAAATTTTACGGCTTGCATTAGAAACGAGCTGGCTACGGCATGGCGTTTAAAGCTTAACTAACTTCTCTGGTCGCAGGAAGGCGAACCCAGGGAAAGCACATTACCTCCATCAAATATGCTCACAAAAAGATATCATTCTACCAGCTCCTGTCCAGAAAGAGAAAAGCCCCGAGTTGCAGGCTCGGCTGGCCAAGCTGCAAGAGGCGCTGGACAACAAGAGGTGCGCCTATTAAATGCCATCCTGTCTGCCAACGGCACTCCGCAAAATCATTGAGGTGACGAGCGCAGGTATTCAGAGATGGTGGCTGACATCACGGAGCATGAGCGCAAAGCCGACGAGATGCGGGGCTCGATCCTACCCACTTCACGCTTGCAGATTTCTTTTGGGGCACACGTGTTAGTAACGATGTTTACCTTCTGGGCGCTAGCATACTACGGCAGCAAATTCTACCTGTCGTACGACGAGCTCTGGGTAAGTGCGTCATGCGGGGCCCGCCCCTACTTGATGCACCGTTCTCCTGTCCCATGTATCCTACGGCGGCTGAAAGGCTGTATAATTCCTACCAGATGCAACCCACGCGGCCTCCCCTAGTCTCCCTTCTTCACCTCAAACTGGACAGCACTCTAAACACTCCATAGCCGAAGTCCCGGCCGGGTGAAGGGTGGGCGCGTCTGTAGCCCCAACCGCAGCGTCACCTGGACGTGCGACAGGGACGGTAGCCCGGCAGCTATTCCAGGCGATTCCACCCCCGATGGCCCCCGGCCCACTTCACGCTTTTCACTGGCTTGCAGGCGGGTCTGGCGGGAGCTCTAGGGCTCACTTCGGGGCTGCTGCTAGAGACACTGCTACTCATCGTTCGGAGCAACAGGCCGGTTCCACTAGAAGAAAGGTGCGACTTCAGGGACTGAAAACGCCCAAATAGCTGGGCGAATGCCTTATCACTTGGTGGCGTTGCTACGCTTCCCAGAAGCACCAGAACGCGTCGCGTGTCGAGAAGGCTCCTTTTTAAGATTTCAATTATCCTAGAATTACCCCTCCGTCCCCAGAGAACTAAGACAGCCCATTTCCGGCGCTGACCTGCTCGCATCTGTTAACCCTGGTGTGCTGTTGCGCCATTGGGTTGAGTGCAGGATGCCGGAGCTGTTCGACAAGGCGAAAGTACAGGAGGCGTACATGCTGGTACGCGAGATGAAGAAGGCGGGGGCTCAACAACAACAGAAGCACAGGAAAGGGAAGCAATGGGGCGCGGTGGCCACGCGACCAGAGGAGAAGGCAGCGGAGGGCCAGTTGCCTACCCGTGTGGCGGAGAGCAAGAAGGCGCGGTAGAGGTGTCGGTGGTCGTGTTTAAAGATGGCGGCCTTATGTACCCTTCATCTATCAAAAGCACACCAAGCGCACCACACACCGCACCACACCATTTGCCACAAGTGTAAAGCGTAATCTACCCAGCTAAATCCAATTCCTGCGCTTCCCCAGATTCGGCAATTTACCCTGTCGCACTGAATAACAGTATAAGAGTATATAATAAGAGTCTTCACCTGCCTGCATCTTTCCTTACAGAAAGTCCTGCAATGCTGGTGAAGTCCTTGCTCAGTTCCACCCCAGATTGGCAATTGTGGTGATAGCCGTTGCTGCCTGAAATGGCTGCCATGTTCCGCAGCATGACCTGGAAGCCAATCTGCTCCGCCCGGACCGCCAAAACCTGGCACAAGCTGTGGCATGGCCGTCCTAGTTCGGCCAGGGTCACTATTGTCCCCGTCGGGCACGAAGACAAAAACAAGCAGTGCGGCATGCAATTAGGTGGCTGCCGGTTCAGGGTTCAAGGCTGCGTGTGCTTGAGCCAGGTCTGGAGGAAAGTTAGTGCCGGTGCCGCGGTACGGAAAATGGGTTGGCACTCTTTACTGATCGGCGTCAGGCAGATCTGCATTTGTGTGTCAGAGCTGAAGGTGATAACAGTGACCAGGTGCTCCCGCCGCCGCTGTGGCAGCTCGCTGTACGCGGTCAACGCATCGCTCCACTTTTGGCAGCACATGGGTCCGTTGTTCAGACATAAGACGATGTGGAGGGGGTCCGTGAAGGTCATCCTGGGGTCGTCAAACAGCTCTACAGAGTGCAGCAAACGGTTGACCCGGGGGTTGTCACGGTGTGCCCGCATTGCGGCTTCAGTCTTGTCCAGTACCTTCTTGTGCACCACCTGCAAGGCCATTGGGCATATGCAGGCTAACACATGACATGGAGGAAGCCGATAGCATGCTGTTAGCCTGCACCCTTGCCGCAGTAATATCTCACAAAGCGGCGGCAGGGTGCTCAACACGCGGTTTGTACAACGCTTGCATGCCATGCCTGGCAACTCTCCCCATCTTGCACAGCATCAGCTCGATAGGTGCTCGAGCAGCGCCAGCTCCGGACATACGCCGACTCCAAACGATGCATATCATATGGATGTAAGCCATAATACCCGCCTCCATGAGCGCAACGTGATACGTGAAGCCTACCTACCCTTCATGCCCCATCAAACGCCCCAACCGCCTCAGCCAGCCCTACCCAGATTGCAACTCGTGTTGCCAGAGCTGCACTGCATGCACAACCCTCACCTAACATGTCACATCTAGTCGCACATCCGCGTCCAACGTTGCGAACAGCAAACTGCTGTTGGTGCCGCCAAAGCCGAAGGAGTTGCTCAGCGCTGCAATGGCCCGATCCGCAGGCAGATTGACGGGGTCACAGCCCACTAGGCCCGTGAGCAGAGGCGGATCGGGGCGCTCCAGGTTCAGCATTGGCGGTGCCCTGGCAAAGGGGGGGGGCAAAGGGTCGATTGCCAGCAGTGCATTAACTTGGGATGGAAGACCGGGAGGCGTGTGGGCCGCATGAAAAGCCCAATAGCACCCACACCTCCACCTGCATCGAGCTGGTTACCTCAGGACCCAGCCCGTCGCTTTGGCTTGCACCATACTCCTCCCACTTCGCCGCCTGATCTTCCGTTGGGGCGACAGACATACCGACTCACGCAATTATAGATTACCGCGTGACAGGGTCTCCCGGCCCGGTTGAAAAATCCAACTCATAAAAATCAAACTGCATTAACACGCTTTAGACGTCGTCACACAGCGCTGGGCCCCAATTTGGACCGCCATCATGGCAGCGTACAGTGCCGTGCATGCATCAATCAACCAATACTACTCCTAGACAAGACGCACGGCGAAGGTGATTGTGGCCCGGGAGTAGGGAGTAGGGCCTGGGATGATGCCAGTGGTGCATCAGCACCACTTTCCTAACACGCTCTCTAGGGCTGTGTCCTCCTCCTCGCAGTCTCTGTGGACCGACCTCCTGTCCCTCAGCGCAAGCACGGTGAAAGCTGCCTCCACTGCCCCTGCAGCACCCAGCAAGTGCCCTGTAGCGCCCTTGGTGCTGCTCACTGCGACACCAGGCTGGCGGGTGGTGGCGACGCTGGAAGAGGTCATCCCGGTTGGCTCGACTCCATATTTGGATCCTGCTTCAGCTGTGTGGAGGCTGGGCTCTGCCACGTATGCGCTGGAATAGGCCACCGTCGCAACAGAGTTGGTAATGGCGGCAGTGGGCGAGTCGTCCGTAAAGAGCGACAGAATCGCCGCTTGTTCAATTGCGTCTCCTGCACCGGGGTGTGCATGGCGCTTAAAGAAGAGCTGGACAGCTCATCCATTTGCGCAACATGTAGAACAGCCAGCTGCGACCAGCAGCATGCCAACTATGGGCATATGTGCAATGGATGCGTTGTCCAGGCTTCCTCACCCGTGCCGCGCCCACCAATGCGCGTGTACTCATGCGCCTGTCGCCATGTGAACCTCACCGGTAGGGGTGGACGTCGCGTGCGCGTTCACGTACGCCACGTCACGAGGTGAAAGCCCGGAGCCAGCCAGCGCCCGCCGCATGCACAACACAGCTCCGAGGCCATCCGGATGCGGGTGCGTGATATGGTATCCGTCACCGGACAGACCATAGCCTCTCACCTTGGGGCCATGGGAGGGCCAGACAAGGGGGGGAGTGGAGGAAGGCGGGCACACGCGTGAGAAAAAGCGCGAGGTCGAAACCGACAACGGTACAGGGAGGGGGGGCATGGACACGAATATTTTCATTTCGACGGCTGAGATGACGCCGGTGGCGGTGCTCGATGGCTTGAGATATCTAGGCAGGACTCAAGCACTACCTAGTAAATTGAAGCAAGCGGAAAAGCTGCTTCCAAAAACGGCGGGAAAGCGGGAAAGGCAGCTCCAAAAAGCTTAGTGGACGTGCTGTGCTGCTGCATCATGCAACCTCATCCCGCTTTGGTTATCTTCATGCTTTCCGCGTGCTAAGTCAGACAGGTTCGGAGGACACGGCGCCCCGCTCACCTCAGCATATATGTTTGCCCCTCGTGCACGGGCATGACCCAGTTCCTCAAGCACCAACACTGCGGCCCCCTCGCCCATCACAAAGCCATCCCGGAACGCGTCGAACGGCCTGCCCTGGCGCGGATGACGAAACGTGAACAGAGGCATGGAAACCCAAACAAGGTGAGAGAGACAACGGAGAGAGCGATTTCCCCAAAGCCCGTAATTTCCCATGGGCAGCGAATGAGTTCCTTGTGGAAGACCGAGCCGTCGCGTAAACGATGTGTGTAGCTGCTAACATATCCATGGCGTCGAAAAGGTGTACAAGCACCCATCAGCCGGGTGCGATCTGCCAAGCGAAGCAGGCGCGATGCTGTATGACAGGAGAAACCCAGCTGCCGCGTGCTTTCGGCCGAGCAACACCTGCCCATGTCCCCTGTCCCCTGTTCCACTCCAGCCTCCCTACTCTCACCCACCGTGATGCCTTGGTGGGTGCGTCATTGAAGCCTGTAGAGAGGGCTTTGAGGCGGCTGAACCCCACGAGGCTGATGGCATCCACACAAGCCTCGGATGCGCCTGCTACCTGGCCGGTAGGTGGCAGAGACGGCAGGTGCAAGTCACAGGAGAGCGGCTGCAGCCAGGAGGATACCCCAACTCCTAACACTAACAATGCCTGGGTGCCGGCCGCGCCTTGGCAGGTGTCCAAGGCGTGTGTGCGTGGGGTGGTGGTGGTGGTAAAAATACGGCGAGCTCTTCGCGTGCATCCGCGTTTTAGGTCAAACCCGGTAGGAAGTGGTGTTGACGTTTGATAAAGAGCAGGATGCTTCCCACAGCACAGGGTGAGCGGGTGGGTGGTGGAGGCAAGGGATATAGGCGCTGATGCCGCTGAGGACTGCCGCTGGGACAAAGGGCCACCCCCTGTCGGGCCCCCCTCCGCAACTACGATGCCGCTCAGGGAAAACACCACCAGCCAAACCGGCAAATGGGACTTACCGCTGGATGAATATGCCGTGCACTGACCCGCTGTGCGATACGTCCCCGCCCACCTTACTTCACTACCCGCCAATGCAGCACGTACAAGCGGGGTATAACCTAGCGACCGCAGCCCCCTCCGGTTCCCCAGATCACCAGCATGGCGCCATGCCCCGTGTCCCCCCCTTCCCGGGGGCCCTTTCCACACCAAACAGCAAACCTCCATTCTGCCCTCCCCAGCACCCATGTCGTCGGGCTCACCATAACATCCGCCTCGCCACGCTGGATGAGCCGGAAGGCATCTCCCACAGCGTGCCCCCCGGTCGCACAAGCGGTGGAGGGGGACAGGTTGGGGCCTTGAAGACCGTGTCTGCAAACACGATCCCGCCAGCATTGCATTTGAACAAGTAAAGGTGGTGCTGAGGGTTGCCATTGCGGTGCTGGTGGTGGCGCAGGTGCTGGTGCTGGTGCTAGTGATGGCGCGCTTCTCGGCCTACATGGCGTTCCCAACCAACTCTCCCTGCTACCCATGCATTCACCAGACGCACCTGATGCTGATGGCACCTGCAGCCATGTTGGGCAAGATGCGCGGCACGAAGAAGGGCGATACACGGCGGCCCCGACCCGAGCACACGAGCGCCCCAGCCTCCGAAACCTCCGTAGTACAGCTCATGCCGTTGCCAACTACCACACCCGTGCATCGACTGCGAGCCTCCACATCCACTGTATTGCCCCCCGGGTCCAAGTCCGCCAGGCGCCACCTGGCATCTGCCAGCGCCTCCTCCGCTGCCACCAGCGCCAGCACCATGAACCTCGACGACCGGCGGACATCCTGCTGGGCGGCGCGAAGGACGGGGAAACGCATTTACCACTCGTTAACCTCCAAAGTGCGCAGAGCGCACAAGCAGATCTGTATGCGATAAGTGTTTCCTTGCTGCTGATCAGCTACTACCGCAGCCATTCCAATCCATGATGGGGTACGTTGGAAAGGTTTAGGGCTCTGGGGGGGTATTCCGACCCACCCACATCCTCACATATCCTAGGCGGGCCCCGCAGCCTCGCTGACCTCCAATAGACCCATCCTCAAGCACGCCTCCTCCAGCTGCTCTCTTGGCACTAGTCCTGCTACTCGGCAGGGCAGGGATGCCAGCGCGGGTCGTTGCGGCTGCAGGCAACACCGGAGCGGCAGGTGCAGGCAGCGTCATCGTGACAGGCGACAGGGACAGGAGGGAATCAGGGGACCGCTGTGTGGAAGGAGGATCGGTAGAAAAACAACCCTACATGGGCCGGCGGCCGTCGTCCTCCTTAAAGGACTGGAAGGGGGTATGTATGACACCGAGGTGGGCATGTGCGCGACACCGCGATAAGGGGCAGCATGTGTGATACACACGGATGATGCTGATGCTGATGATAGTGGTACTGTGGAGTTCCGATATGGATGCGGTGTTGTGTGAGGGATGCGGCGCCGTGGCCATATAGCTCAGCCTCACGCCGGTAGATTGCCTGTAGCGATACTCCGCCATTACATTGCCCTGCAACTGTGGAATCTACACCTTTTTGGTGCGGATTGAGCTCGATTCTTGAGTTTTCTTGTCACCAAGCCGCATCCTACCTCGGGAAGATCGTCCTCGCGCAGCTGCCTAAGGCCAGACTCGCCCGCTAGGAGCCGTCGCCATGTCTCCGCTACACCCACTCCAAGCGGGGTGACAAGCCCAAGCCCCGTCACCACAACCCGGCGTGTCGGCAGCGCAGGCATTGGCCCGAACCCATAGGAAGGCCCTAGGGAGGCCAGAGTGGACGTTGCTTTGCAGAAGTCAGGCACGGTCGCTCCCGCACAGGGAAGCCTAAGGCCCAGTTGCAATACTGCGTGCCGAGCAGCGTGGCTCACAATTGTTGTAGCTAACATGGTTTGGAAAGGGGAAACGCACAGTTTGACGTGTCGAAAACTATGCCCCATCTTCGGGAGGTGACTTACACGGGCGCCCCTCGTCGCCGTTTGAATAGACAGCAAGTCATCTTAATCAACAAGTTTGGTACTGGCAAAGCTGGAAGGCGCATATTGTCGTGTTTAGCATTGAACAAGGTAGGAAAGGCCGTAAGGCCCAGCATGCGGGTGCCTTGTGGCAAATACATAAATGATGAAATAATACAGATAATACTCCCTGCAAAAGGACGGAAAAGCGAGAAGACAACGTTTTACGTTTACGTTTTACGTTTACAAGCTTCAAGCTTGTACGGTCCAGACGAGCCAAAAGGCTCATGAACCGCCAAACTGGAAACAAGAACTCAAAAAAGAAAAATGCCAATACCCAACAATAACAGATTGATTAATCTTTAACGTACTGCAACCTGAGAAGACAAGCTATGCGATCTTACTCAGACCAACGGCAACTGAACATCATGCTTGCAAGCATCTTGCTTATGGAGTACAACCTCGAGTTAGTATTCAGGACTCATACTCACAACAAGGCAGGGTGTTTGCTGTAATGCATGGGAGCAGCAATGCAGTGAAGCACGCACACGCTTTGTAGTCCGACGGATACTCCATAAGCACATGACATCACTTTTTGGCGTATTGGACTGCTGCAAGCTTAGGACACCCATGATATCGCTGGTGACCGTTCAGAGTGTTGGAGAGTGATCAACTCTCATGTACCTCTGGAATGTGTGAGGAATGAATACGGCCCGTGGGTTGCCGTGCGCTTTTCCATTCTTAACATTTGTTCCCGAAATCGTGCATTATCGTCACTACTCTACCCGCTATTGAGCACGGTAGAAGAAGAGTTATCCACAAGCGTTCACTGGACCTCACTGACTGAACAGTACCGAGGCTGGGGCTCAAGAAAGTGTGTGTGTCCATTGGTCGTGGGGTGCATACCCCGTACCTGCAAACTACCCACAACGAGCTGAGGGCTCAAGGTTTGCCAAACCGCGAATCCCTTTCCGCAGCATACAAAAGGGGACACCAGCCTTTGGCGCCAAGGCTACATACAAGGCATGCAAGCAATGGGGCAAGCCAGCTGCAGACCATATGTGTTGGTTGGCACTTGTCGGGGTTGCATGGAAGGGCAGAGAAGCTATACCCGCTGTCCCAACCTTTGAGGCCGTTCTTCAATCAAGCGGCCGTCCTAGCGTATCGTGTACAAGCACTGTCTGCGGGTGCATGTGTCCTATCGGGGACCTCCCGCCAGAACGCCTCCCTTTGGCTCAAGATTATGTTATTACGCCTGGCCGGCCACAGTCCCGGCCGCTCTCTGGGACAAAGCAATTCGGATATCAGGAAAATTGGCATCGACTTGGGGCTCCCGGAACATGTCCATGAGAGTAAAACATACTCTCATGATGTAAAGCCTTGCAACAAGCAACCATGTATCACTAAGGCTCCATCCGGACAAATCTGGGACAAATGTGAAGCAGGACAAGAGAGACACGCATGCTGGCTCAATTCGACAGTTACCAAACGGTTTGTGTCCTATCTGGATTGAGGACGGATCTCTTGGAACGCGCCTTAAGAATAACTATGTGCAAACTGGGAAGCACGGGGATGGTCATTCTGCATGCAGTTCGGCCACTTGCGACACGCGCTTCAGGACGCTGATGGTATTGCCTGAGTGTTTTACCAGCAATTATACGGTAGGGTGCATAAAGTACCAGAGGCTTAAGGATACCTAACGGGACCGGCCAGGTTTTGTTCACTTTCTGGCTGAGTTTACGGTATAGCGGTCCCAGACACGATGTAACTGGATAGACCTTCCACGAGGAGACAAGCTCAAGTCGTAAGCAGACTCGTATCTTTGCTTGAACCATGGTACAACTCATGAATGTCAACCACATCGTTAGCAGGCACGTAAGAAGCCCTCCAGCTTGCCGTGTGCTTGGTTGCTCCAGTCTTAATTACACAAGAAGCTTCGCACAGCAGTTGCTTTTTAAGTTTGGCATGCATCCTCGGAGTCCCCTGTGGAACATCATGCACTCGAGGCAGGTTTTCCATTCGGTACGGCAGTACAGTAGCAGTTGAAGCATCTACACGTTTGTTGCCAATTTAGTAGTCTTCTGGCCTGTACTTTATACTAGGACTACACAGAGTAGGCGTGATCACCATAGGTAGCGAGCTGGATAGGGGTCAATCGGGTTGATCAGACCCTCGATGGCAAGTACAATGAACAAGGCAACTGACCAGGACAAATTAGCTGCTTTCCAGAATTATGATGCTTGGGTCTTTGACTTAGATGGTGCGTTCTAAAGCTCCATAAGCAACAGCTTTCATTTCACATCTTGTCACGCTTGTATGCACAGCTCCCTAATGTTGTAGACCTGGTCTTTCTGCAACAAGTTTTAGCTTGATTGTCTCAGTTGGCGTTAATCTTGGTACAGGCACTATTTGGAAGGGCTCGGGGCTGATACCAGGAGCGAAGGAGTTTATTGAACTTCTAAGATCGTATGTAAGAATGGCCGACAAGCACCTCTAGATGGAAAATGCGGGATCAAATTCGGGCCCCGTGGCTCGGGTAGCACACGCTCTCCTCACGGCGTGCGTCCGTACCCGGCCCGTGCGCAGCAAAAGAAGGTATTCTTCGTGACAAATAACGCCACCAAGTCCCGCGCATCCAACGCATCCAAGCTTTCAGCTCTGGGGATTACGGCGACAACGGTGGGTTCGGGTAAATTCCCCTCTCTGTACTACAGCACCTGGACGCTGCACAGAATAACCCAAATGGTCGGCCGCCCATTATTAGACGGTTCGTGATACAGTTTGCAAGTCACTCCGTCGTATGTGAGAGAAAATATGCAAGAGGGCCACGTATGCACGTATGGGACAGTTGCCTGGCCGAGTATCTCGGCTCCTTCGCCATTGCCATCCTTGCTGCCCGCACGCCTGCCCCTGTCCCGATCACAGGCCGAGGTGTACACGAGCTCATTTGCGGCGGCAACTTACCTCAAAACCATTGGCTTCAGTAAAAAGGTATGTCTACAGCGATGCTTCCACACAACCAAGATGGGTTATTGTCATCCTTACATGGGCCCCTCACCCTTGGATTCCCCAGGCTTACGTGGTGGGGGAGCAGGGTCTGGTGGATGAGCTGTCCAAGGCGGGCATCACCTGCGTGGGGGGACCAGAGCATGCGGGCAAGGAGATTGACTGGAGCAACCCGGAGCCGCACATGGAGGTAGACCCCGAGGTAAGAGCGCCGAGCGCCCCCTCCAGGGGGGTCAGCACCTTTTGGATGGGTCGGGCTGGGCCGGGTCGGGTCGCAGGGACCCAGAACCCTGGATGAGCGCCTTGCGGCTGGTTGGGGACCACATGTTAACCGGGACCAGGACCAGGACCGTGATGTATGCATGACCAGATCAGGATTGTAGCTAGCACTATCGGACGCTTAGGGCGCTAGAAGGTCTTTCCCAATAGGGCGCTTATCGCAACGTCCTGTAAGCGGCTGGGGTGGGCCTCCCTCTGAAAGAAAACTGCAACAAAATGTCAACATCAAATAGGAAGGCATGCCACTGCGGAAGGATATCTGCTGGCCATGATTCATAGTAGCGCGGACCATAGCCGCTCACGAACGTCCACATCCACGTCGCAGCCGTGCAGAGGTGGCTCACCCGACCTATAATCCTGATGGTAGATTCGTCGACAATAAAAACGCAGCGCATTTAGGTTTACCCTAGGGCCCTAGGCGTGACCTCGCTTGAACACCGGAGGATAACGCGGCTGCTGCCCGGCCCTTTCCTTCTGCCATGCCCCTCTGCTGTGTCCGCCTATAACCAGGTGGGCGCCGTGGTCGTGGGCTTAGACCGTTACATCAACTACTACAAGCTACAGTACGCCACCACCTGCCTCATTAACGACAACTCCTGCATGTGAGTGACAGCTGCTGTCCGGCTGGGGCTGCCCGAGCTAGCCCGCCTCCTGGCTGGCGTGCCTTGCCATTTGTAGCCCGTCTGTTCAGCGTGACAAGGTGCCCATCCCCTACCTGGATTGTGTCCGCCTAGCTTTCCCCTGCCAGATGTTCACAGCGTCCGTCTGGTGCCGTGCTGCACTGCACTGCCATCTATCGGCCTTTCCGTGGCAGTCTACTCAAAACTGACCACATGTGTATTTATGTATGTGGTGTGTGTTGTCCTCCCCTCCCCCCTGCGTCTATCCTTGGCATCAGCTTTACTCCTTCGTGGTTCGTCGTAACCCCCTTCCCCCCACGCAGGTTCATCGCGTGCAATACGGACTCCCGGGGTCACTTCAGTTCGTCTCAAGAGTGGGCGGGGGCGGGCACCATGGTGGCGGCCATCATCGGGTCCAGCGAGCGGGAGCCCATGCTGCTCGGTGGGTGCCGTGGAATGAACTGGCGGGCGTCCGTCTTTTTGCCACAAGCCCTTTTTTGGACGCCTTGCCATCGTCGCACGCTGGGAGATGGACATTTCGTGACTGGCCTTGACTGGTCTGGATCATTCAGGCTCTGTGCATGCACCTCTTACACACGCCGGTGCGCTTGGCGCCGTTGGAATGCCGTTTGAATCTGCTGGCATGTGGCATCGCCCTTCTTAGGCCTGTGTGTTGTGAAGAGTGTGTTGGGGGCCCGCAGGGCTGCACTACCAGTCTGGCTGTTGCTATTTCTGTTTTCCTGTCCCTTAGGAACTCTCTGGTTTCACCTTTCGTGAGATTTGAGAGAGCGTGCCGTCTTACCGTCTGGCCCTGCCTGCCCTTATGTTGCTTGCTGCTTTCGTCCTTGTCCTCTAGGCAAACCCGCTTCCTTCATCCTGGACCACATGTGCGCAACGCACCAAGTCCCCCGGGAGAAGTGCATCGTGATAGGTGGGTGCGCGCATTTCCGTATGTCCCGCGTGTTTGGAACCTGCGCAGAGTACACGCACGCGGCAGCTAGCGTAGGCTGAGGAGAATGGCCTTGGGTCCTGTGTTGTTTGGCAGCGGTGTGAAGATGATGTTCAACAGCGTGGCACCACGGTTTATGTGCGAGTGCTCTGTGCACATGTGCACAACAGCAAAGGGATGGAAGGCCATGTGCCCGTTTCTTCTTCGTATAAAGGCTATACATCAACCTCCAACATGCTGTTGGACGTAGCGGTAATGGCGCTCTCAGCCAGCCGGCTGCAACCCCTGCTGCTGCTGCTGCTACTACTGCAGTTCATGCCGCCTTAAGCATCTTTTAGGCCAGCTTGTCGACCACCTGCATTCCTTCATTCATTTGAGTCAACACTTGATTTTGAGCCTGCGCCCGACTGTAACTGGAAGTGAGCTTTGTCCCATCCACCACTCGGCAGGCGATCGCCTGGACACGGACATCCTGTGGGGCAACCAGAACCGAGTGGCCACATGTTGCGTGCTGTCAGGTAGGCCACGGGTGACCTCCTTGGGACCTCCCCCCTCCAGAGCGCCGCGGGCGCAGTAGCGGCGCTGGGGGAGACAGCCGTTGGGACAGGCCCTTGGGGCTGCACGGGCAGGCACCAGCACGAATGAATGCGGTCACTGGGAATTGGATGCACGGTCACCTCGATTGGTTGCTATCCGCGCCGCTGACGGTGTCGGGCGAGGTCGCTTTTCGCTAGCCCTGCCAGTGCAATGTCGTGTATCGCTTTAACAAGAGTAACGTGGTACAACAAAGTGCGGTAGGCTGGGTTAGCTACCTAATGCGTTATGCCGCTGTCGTTCTCCTCCTACCTGCGCTGTTCCTGTTGCTCCTCAATTCCTATTCGACGGTTTTCTTTGCGCGCTGACGAAATATCCGGAGCCTTTCTGGGAAGCAGATGCGTCTGTGTGTACGTCTGACCTGCTGTGCTAGGATGCATGGAGTTGGCGATGCAACACAGCAGTAACTGTGCACGCATGTGTATGATGATGTGTTTGCAGGAGTGACAAGCGAGGCACAGCTGTTAAGTCCTGAGAACAAAGTGCTGCCAAAGCTGTACGTTGACTCGCTGGCGGACTTCTTGACAGTGAAACCCTGGCTACCATCCAGCTGCCTCATTATGTAAATTTGAATGGCGTATTTTAATGTGTGACACTTTGAGATGATGTGTAAGGTGCGTAAGACGTGGGCGCTGAAGAGACTCTGAAGTAGATCGCAGTACATCGCAGCATGGATGAAGTTTGCGTGGTTGAGCGGAGGTTACGAAGGCGCTGGGGCATTGGCGGCTGGGGGGAGCTTTCTTAATGATTGCCATGGGTTTAGAAGGGCCTAAAGCATTGAAAGTGGTCATTATTTATCTCATTCGGTCTTGTGCTGTGCTGCAACTAAATCAGTTGTGTCGTGCACTGACGTGCATTGGTACGGGTGGCTATGCGTCCTCTGTCCTTAGGAATGTGGCCTGCAAAGTAAGTAGAAGGCGCCCCGACTGACGGGAGGACCGTGGTGCTATAGAGCTTTTGGATTAGCCTGGAGTTGCCAAATCTGATTGCCGCACAGGCCGTTGGTCACGCTGCTGCTTACCTACGTGCATTAGATGTGTCCGGTAGCTTTGAGGTGATAGACCTTGTGCTGGAAAGCTGCTACACAAGGCAGCTTGGCATAGCTCTGGCAACTCGAGTTTCTGTAGCCCCAGGAAGGTGAAGGGGACGAAATCTGCCGTACAGGTCGACTGACATTGTCGTACCTGTTCCATCGTGCTAGGTATTGTTTGTTCATTTAGTCAGGCGTCAATAATTTGCCTGCTTTCTTTTGGCGTTGTCGCTGAGTAACCCAGCGACTCCTTTCTTGTAGGAACCCTTAATCGCGCGCTTTTAGCTATGTTTGTCATCTTTATTATTCAAGTCATGGCGTTTTCTAAAGATGTATGCTCCAAGATGAGTGTGAACTAGGTGTATTGACCAATAACAAGCTAGATCGATTTAAAGAGGAGTGCGTTTGGGGACAAGGTGGCAGCGCAGCAGCATAATGGCTTCATCTGTATGGTGCGCTAGCGCTATCCTGCTTCCTTGTTGCCTGACGGACAAAAACATTGTCTGAATCGTGTTTCGTGTTTGAAGGACGGCGACAGTTTGGGGCCAGGGAAAGGCAGCAATTCTTGTTGCAACGAGCAGGAAAATACAGCCAGGGGAAGAGGTGGGCCGTTGTCCTGGGATCGCCTATGGGGTATCGCATCCGCGGGCTGACGGTGAGCATTGGTCGCCATCCAGGAATGCCACATTTGCAAAGACGATGTCCCGGCTTCAGTATCTCTTCGACCGTGTGGTCATATGATTTGCTTTGGCTGCGTTGAAAACCTGCGCGCGAAGAACATCTTCAGGTATGTCGCGGATTCTCTCTGCTGCTGTGATGGGCTCTCTCGCATCGTTACTTCACGGAATGCCCAGTCTCCACCGGTCAGTGCTGCTGGATGAATGTAAGCTCGGCCTCGCATCGTGACCGTCGGGGCGTATTAAACAGTAATGAAACACAGGACTGAGTCCCCTGCGCACGTACCGGCCCGGGCCCTCCGAAAGGCTTCTCCAGAGCCAATTCCAATATGTAACAGCATATCCCGCTGCAATCTCCACTGCGACAGGGCGGACAAAGGTGTCAAGTGCCCTTTCTGCCGGCAATACGTCACTCAGTATGAACCCTGCAACAGGTGCGCGGATGGCAATCGCGAAGGGATCGAAACGCGTCCCGAAAGCTTACCACTGCTTTTGCTTCTTTGGCCGGAATGCATGAAATGGTGGTGTTAAGCTAGACTGCGACTGCTTCCCCGTTTTTATGGTGTGTGCCTTTCCTTGAACAAGGCCATGCCTGAAGCTTCCTTCCCCTAAATGCGACGTCGGCAGTTGTTTTCAGACTTTGCATACATCCCCCCCCAACTCGACATTTTTGAAGCATGCCTGCCTCTGGTAAAGCTCTCTTCCGAATACGCTGGTCATAACCTACTCGGCACAACCTTATGGGCAATGCCGAAGCTTAAAGTGGAGCACATTTGCGCAAAAATGTCCCATACACAACCCCGCAGTGCCGATCCAGAACAGATCCGATTGCTCAATGAAGCAAATCGCGCGGCGGCCTTCGCCACGGCGGGGAGAGTGCCGAATGCTAACGGCACGTCCGGCTCTGCGACACGCTCCTTGGCGGCGACACCCGCAGAAGAGAGCTGGATGTGCAATTCGTGTCGCTGCCTGAATCTAGCGCACCGCGATGAGTGCAGCTCTTGCGGAAGGCCGAATCCACGGCCTAAGCAGACGACGACACGTAGCCGGGATGTTCTCAAATGCAGCGACGAGGAGGTCATTGGGTGGGTCATTGGGCAGGCAAGGACTTGTAAGGGATGGCGTCTTGGCTTGGAGGGAACAAGCGCACGATACGCATGATGAGTCTCGAAGGGCCACAAATCCCGCATCTGCTGGGCCTGCGTTACCTGGGGCTGCTGTTGTTGGTGGCGTGTTGCATGTCTAATGTGGACAGCATTTCCTACAGACATGGAACAACCCCTTGTGAAGGGGGCTGTGTTTCATGCGAGTGTTCTTGCCTATGGTGCTACATAGCTAATCTGTGCTTGCTAACATGGGCTTACTTGTGCTTACTACATAGATATTAGATTTTACATGTGTACAGGATTCGGGACATGTCGCCTCTTTCTTTGGTCCTAGCTACGTATCCAGTCCCGAAGGTTGCCGAACAAGCTGCGGTGCGCTTGGGATGCCCCTCCATGATGCCCCTCCGGCAGGTTTATGCTGGAGCGTAACCAGCCCTTCTTGCAGCGCTGCTACTCGGAGGCGGGACTGGGGTTCTCACAGGGGCGCATCGTGACAGGTGCGGGAGATTCCTGAACCGCCAAGCGGCACCTGCGTGCTGTCCTTCCTGCATGGTAGGCGAATGGAGATGGTAGATGTGATCGCATCTCAGTGTGCGCTTCTGGAGTGACCTTGCTGTCATGGCTCATGGGACTAGGACGAGCTGGATACGACCTGTCCGTGGTCCGTCCGTCAAGATGCAGATATGTTTGCTGTGCTGGGTGGCCTGGACATTGTCCGCACGAGGGCCTGGAGCTCAGGAGGATATGGTGAAAGGGATGATTGGCAGCTACTATCAGCATGCAAGCAGATGAACGGTTGGACAGCAGATCTATGGCAGGTCCGGCAGCTTGGTTGGCGGCCGCGTTTTCCGGCTAGGAAACGGCGCGCAATTACGCGACGGACGTACTCGCAGAGCGGCCGCGGGGTCAGGCAGAAGGACAGGATTCCGGAGCAAGCGAGTTGCACTTGCAGCAGGGATGAGTCAGTGTTGCTTTATGCTGTGAACAAGTAACAAATCTACTTAACTCGATAGTGGGGGCTTCCCGCAGCGATTTCCTTGGTGGCAAACGGGCGGGCAGAACACGGGGGGGCATTGGGTCCCCTTCGCTGCATCGCTGCGGCAACAGCAAGTTTATGGATTGCCCTCCAGGCGAAGCACCGCCGGGACAAGCCACTGGCGGTCTTGCGGCATAGGCCAGCAGGATTGCAGCTTTACTTGGTGCCACTGAAGGGCGGGGCGGGGGGTCGTAAATGCGTTCGTCTGTGTTTTGAAGTCTAGGTAGGATCGTGAGGTCAGCTCTCTCTCTCCTTTTGCATAATGCGCGGTCGGAGAGTTTCCGTTGAGCCGAACATTTATTCCCTTCCCATAACTGATGCGCTGATGGAGTGAAGCTGTGCGTGTGCACATGCTGTCCTGGAGTTTCAGATGCGGCCCTTTACCTAAGGGAGCTTGTGCGCTTTTCCCGTAGTGGCATATCTTCGTCGTCACCTGCTCTCTCCCTTGTATTACCCTGTGGGCAACTCGGTCCTCGGGCTCCACGGGCGTTCCCTTATCACCTTGTCACCTTATCGCCCTATCACCCAGACGGGGACACCCCTCAGCGCGTCCTGAACGCCTTCAAGCAGCGTGGCGAGGAGCGGCTGATGCGGCTGGTCAAGGTCTTGGCTAGTGAGTTATGCGCCTGCATTACAGCTTTTCATAGGGTAAACATATGGGGTAACATCTAAGCTACGAAGTTGCTGGCCAGACCGGCTTCATGGCTCGTGGCCAGCCGGCAGTAGCGTGTGCGGCTGTAAAACCCTAAAGTGGAAGTTGAGTAAAGGAAGCAGAGGTGAATGTTCTGGGTTCTGGGTGGCGATGGATTGGTGTCTACGTGGTTCGCCCGGTGGCGGCGCATCCAACAGGTTGAATGGGGGAGGTTGGGCCTGGCCCTCCCCAGCCTTGGGAGTGGTCTGAGCTCCTCCATCTGAAAACCTCCTGGTCATGTGTCTCCCTTTTTCTTCATTACTTTTTGCACTGTTTTTCGTTCCTGCACGTGCTTCCGTCTTGCTTCCTCAGGGCCGGAAGTGTTTCTAGAGGTTGCTACCCACTTCTTGGGCAGCTACGGACTGCAGACTCTGGTGGAGGCCACCTTGGTCATCCGGCAAGCCATGGAGCGGGCAGCGGCGCAGGGTCAGGTACGCACGGCCGCCTCTCTGCGGTACTAAATCGTCCCCCGGGTGTTTCGCTGTTGGCTCTGTAACCTGTGTGCTGTACGTGTTGCTTTTTTAGCACGTGATCGTGTGCAACTGCCACCTTGTCCTGAACCCTTCCGCCCGGTGGCACCGTCCAGCTTCCCGTGGCGCTGTATCATGCCCTCGACCCCCCCATCCCTGTCGGTCAGTTTCTACGTTTGCTACTCTCTTGCCCTGGCAGCAGCTTCAATCGTGTGTGGTTCGTCTTTCCCCCATCCCTATCCCTATCCCTGACCCGGCCCGCTACCCCAGGCTGCCCTGACCTGGTTCCGTTCTGCTCACGAGGGCCGCGACCCGCATGGCGTGCTGCTGTACGCCGCTTTGCCGAATGCGGTAGATATATCCAGACACGAGCAGGCCACCTACCTGGTTCAGAAGCTAGCAGATCACGCAGAGCCGCAGGAGCTGGTAGACCTGTGCGGGGCGATCTTCCCGCAGGTGAGGCTGTGCTGCCTGTGACCAGGTAGAGAGTGAGAAGGGGTATGGCAGGTTTTGTGGGTGCTCCAAATCGGGCGAGGTGGGTGTATCATGTAGGATGCAGCTCGGTTTATGTCCGCAGGGTTGCAGTCTGTAGGGGCCCTATGTCGGGAGAGGTCGATACCGGGGGCCGGGGACCCGGGGAGAGGGGCCTGTTGTGGGGGATGGAAAACGGGGGCAGCACGCAGGGTACGTGCGGTGACCGGGGTTTTTTCATTAGCCAAGCATCATACGAATGGCCGCTTGGTTGGGGAGTTGTCCTGTTGGTCGGACTGTATTTGGAATCGCCAAGCGCAATGAGGCCTTGCGTGAGGCGGTGCATAGAGTGTAGGGGGGTGACGCTGCTTTCTGAATGGCTGTGGGAAGCCCTCAAACCAATATTCTGCGGGTTTATTGTACATGATGGCTGTAGTAGTGTTGGGGAGCAGAGCCTTTTTCTTTAATTCCGCCTGCTCTCTACGGCATTGGTCACCTTCCGACATCCTTCCAGGGCCCTGATCTTGTGCTCGACCACAAGGGTGTCTACGTCATGAACAAGCTCCTGTCCATGCTCAAGGTACGGCAATGGCACCCCATCAACTGAGTAAGACATTAGCTGGGAAGCCAGGTGGGCAGGCTGCTAAGGTGGCGGAAGACTTGCCTTTCTTCTAGACGGGGCCAGGGGAAGCCCGTTGCTTTCAAGAGCGCGGAGGCCTGTCGCAAAGCGGCAGGGTGCTAGGCACTGCCTAGGACGCTTTCAGTCGACGGATTCCTTCCTCGCTGATAATGCGCCGAGTATAACTGCAGCTCAGTAACAATCGGCTGCTCAGTAAGGCCGTGAGATGCTGATCGCCTGCCGCCAAGTCTTAAGCTCACGCCAGAGCACCTCTACATCACTTCACCCTGGTGGTGCAGAGGACATGTGGCGCGGCGCTGACGCGGTCCTAAAGCTGCCGTTGGGGGTGCTCGCACTCATAACAGGTGCCAACACACAAATTGACCAGGAGAGGACTAAGGAGGGAGGGAGGGGCGAATGGGGCCGCCAGGGAGAGAATGAATGAGGGCTTGAGGCCCGCATGATACTTTACGCGTGCGGCTTGCTAATCATCCATTTTTTCCCACCCACCTTTGATTGCACCCACCTTGCGGCTTTGCAGACGGTCTGCTGTGGCGGTGTTCACCGGTTCGACGCATGCGAGCTCGCTGACGGGCTGTGCTGGCACTTCATGGAGGCACCAGACAAGCTCAAGTTCTGCCTCCATAACACGCTGGCTAGCAAGGTGCGCCGGGGGGATTAGAAAGCTCTGCTCGTCAGGGAGAGAGGGATCAGGGAGAGGATGAGCTAGATGGCTGGCATGTTCTGTCCTGGAAGAGGTCCTCGTGGGGACGTGCCGCGGTGGCACGCGTCTGGCCGGTAGCATGGTGGAAACGAGTCGATGTCTCTCCCTGCCCTGTTAATGGGGTCGCACTCGTCGCAACCCCGCTGCATTTTCGGCACGGTGCGCTGGGGTTGGGAAATCTAATACTCTCCCGGCCTTACACCCTTCATGTCTCTCCCGCCCTGCCGTTGCATTCTCCTGTCTGAACCACATGGTCATGTCGCCGCTTCGTCGTCAATTTCCCCCCACGCCTCTCCTCATCCACCATCCACGCTCCGTTGTTCTGCCCTTGCGCTTCCTCAGCCGCCATATGGTACATTGCCCTCCACCCCGGTGCGTGCCGCGACGCAGGTCCTGTCCTCAGCCGTGGCCTTGGGCTTGCCGCAGTACGGCGCTCTGCGTCTGGGCTCCCAAGTGGCCTCCAGTGCGATGCGGCTCATGTCCAGCAAGAACGGGCCGGCGTGCGTCTTGTCAATGCTGGAGATGGAGGTGCGGGAGTGTGTTGTTACATGTCAGATAGGCGAGGGACAGGAAAGCGAGGGAACATAGCATCACGGCGGGGGAGGAGGGACGTGTTGGATTGCGGCTGGGCTCGATGTCATGCATGAGAGGTTTTCTGCGATGCATGGTGCACTGTGTCTTGGCCTCAAGCCTTGACTAGCCCACTATCCCCTTCACGCTTTTCACCTCCCGCATGCCCTTGTCCTTCGATGTCCCGTTCTGTGCGGCCGCAGTCCGTTGACGCTATGTGCAACGAGCTGGTCCGGGACCTGATTTGCTCTATCGCCATGAAGCTCCAGGGCTCCCTGTACGGACTGCTGATGCGGACTACGTGTGTGGATGACCGGGCGCCCCAGGTGGTGCGCAAGCTGATACAGCGCCTGGCGGCCGAACACGAGGAGGACTGGCTGGACGCATTTTGCCAGGAGCTGATTAACTACGGTGAGGAAGCTTGGGCGCCCATGACGCGGCATGAGGGTGAAGGCGGCTGGGGGGGAAAAGACGATCCACGCGGCTGGGGGACGCGATGTATACTTCTTGCGGCGCTTTTAAAGTCCCGTGGCCTATCCCACCCTCCCTCCATACGCTGACGGTTTATGAGGCTCTACTAATATACTTGGGGGTTTTGACCTTAATTCCTGGCTGATGGCAGCAGGTTGCCGGCCAGGGGCTTCGGGTCGTGACCGCTGTACTCAGCAACAACAGCAACAACAACAAGTTTATTATTATTTATTATTATTATTATTATTATTTTTTATTATTATTATTATTATTATTGTTACTATTATTATTCCTAATTGCCCGCCGGATCAGGGGCGTGACATTGGCCTGCCTTCAATCCTCCCAGACACCATGCCTGCCGAGACAAGCTTGTTCTAACCACCCACACGCAGGTGATGTCATCAGCGAGAGCCCCGAAGCTCTCGAAGTGCTCCAGGATGCGTTGTGCTTCAACGTGCAAGGGGACGAATCCGTAGTGGAGCACATCACGCAGCTAAGACAGGTGCGTGGAGGTGTGGGATGGGAGGATAGGTGGAGGTGTGGGATAGAAGAGCGCTGCCATCCAGGCACTCCTGGTGCCGGTCAACGAGATGCGCTTTTAAGGGTATCAACGTGGTATTCAACGTGGTATTGCATGTAGTGCAGTTGTACAGCTCCAAGGAATTTATATTTCTGCCCATAAAGCCCTCTTTGCCTTCCCTCCCGGTAATTGCAATGCTGGGGGTTCGCAACCCATCTACGCTATGCAGATCGTGCCATCCCAAGCAACAATGCGGGCCATAGAGGAGGACATTTGCAACCGCCGGGATTCGAACCCGGACCCACCGCCGCCGCGCTACCACGCACCATCCTTCATCACGCCGATTTTGAAATACGCGTTGGCGATGAGCGAGATGCCGCTCGAGCCGCCGCCGCCGCCACCCAAGGCGGGCAGGACGGCCGGTGGCTCCGGCAACGGCGGCGCGTATGCCGGTTACGGGAGTGCTGGGATTCGCAACGGCGGGCACGGCAGCCGGACTGGCGCAACGCAGGGCAACAATGTTAATGCGGCATTTGACGAGTCATTCTTTGCCGAAGGGTTATTTGATCCGGCAGCGCCCGTGCAAGCCACCACCGCTGACGGCGGCCTGGACGGCTGGGGTACTTCGTCAGGTGATCCGTGGGCAAATACTTCGACGGGTGAAGATTGGCTGGCAGGCGCTGGCGGGAGCGCTCAAGATATTCGAGCAGCACCCCCGCCAGCTGCGGCCGCACCAACGCCAGCCACTGCGGCAGTAGCGCCGGCGGCGCCATCGCAAGTAGCCGCAGCCGTAGCTCCAACAGCCAGTGCTGCGCCGCAGTCCACGGGACAGATGCTACTGCAGTCACTGCAACGTCCGGTCCCCACGGCACAAGCTGCCAATGGCGTTTTCGCTGCCCCCTCTACCGCCACCACCTCAGTCGCGGCGCAGCAGGCTACGACACAGCTACGGCCTATTGCATCGGTGCCAAGCGCCGCCGTGGCTCCCGTGGCCGCAGGTATCGCACGGCCTGTTGCGCATCCAGCTGTTCCGCCGAGTTCTGCCGTCAACCCCACTCTGGCAGCTGCTCGTGCGGTGGCGCATGCGGCAATGCAGGCACAACAGAAGGCGCAGCAACAGGCAGCGCAACAAGGACAGCACCCAGCCCACCAGCAGCAGCAGCAGCAGCCAGCCGCTCCGGCTGCACAGCCGCCGCCGCCACACCACGTGCAGTACCACCACCCGCAATTCCACCAGCCGCCGCCGCAGGCTGAGGTTCCAATAGAGCTTCAACCGGCAGTTGCAGAACAAGGGCAGCCCCATCAGATCCCAGAGGAGCAGCGACGACAACTGCAGCAGCACGGGATGACGAACCCGCCAATCGGGGGTACGGGAGCGTTCCTGGCCCACAGCGCCCTGAACGGCGTCGGCATGGCGACAGCAGCATCGGCTGTGTATGCTACGGCCGTGCCCTACATGCCAGTGCCGACGACGGTAGCGGCAGCCCAAGCGGCTCAGCGTCCACGGATGCCGGCCATCCCCTACCCTATGGCTTTGCTCAACCCGGCGCTGGCTGTGTTAAACAACACAGCCGGTATTGCGGCGTTCGCGCCGCGGGCCAACAACGCCCTGGTGTTGCGGCCCACTGCTGTGCCTGTGGTGCAGGTTCCGGTGACGGCGCAGGTGCCACAAGCACCGTCGGCTGGGGTAATAGCCGCAGCGCCGGCTACACCGTACAGTGCAGGTGCCGCATCCGCTGCCACGGCTGCCACAGCCGCCGCGGGGCGGCAGACAGTGACGACAGCACCCGCGGCACTGCACGTGTCGCATCCTCACCCGCCTCCGTCAGATGCGGCGGCATCGCGGCCGCAGATTCTGGCGCCGGCGCCGCTCGCGGCGGGGCGCGGCACTGCGTCTACAACCGCGGACGTTTTGGCCAGCTGGCAGTGCCAAATCTGCACTTATAATCACAAGGGCGCAGAAGCACACTTCCTTGCATGTGCAATCTGCGGCTGCGAGCGGGGCCTGCAGCAGCTGCCTCCTTAGATGTGGATGCACACACCCGCGCGTCGACTTGTGACGATTTCGACAGAGCTTCAAAACAGGCTCGGGCAACTGCTCGTGTATCACCGGTGGACTACAACGGAAAATATACTACAAGGAAACAGCTTTTGGAAGACAGGCAACTAGTTTTTTTTGCGTCGACGCTGCTATGATATAGCGATGATAGGGCTTCACGACGGTAAAGGGGAGAGCGAAAGCCGTATAGATACTCGCAACGGGGACGCTGGAACTTTTTCTTTTCTTTTGAGCGCGTTGTAAACGTGGGAACGGAGAACGAACAACTCTTTTTTTATGTTTTATGTGTTGGCATTGCGCCTCTGAACCGGGCTTGTAGGGCCTACGCGCAGTGCCCGGCTGTGGCGGCGCTTTCACCGTCACCGAAAGGGTGATGCCTTGGTGCGGCGCATTCACACAGTTCAGGAGGTTTGTAAACGCGTGAGTTTTTCCTTGTTTAACCTTTCGACCCTTCTCAACGAAACCCTACTCAACGAAGGGGGCAGGGGATCAGCAAGGATACGGAGGAGACGCTGGAGTGATGTTGACCCAGCTAGTTGACCCGGTGGTGGCAGGATGTGCTGTGGGTGTGCTGGAGCTGGCTGCCGGGCTGTTTAACAGGGCAACAGTATCGCCGGAGCGGTGCAAGGCGGAGGGGACGGGCGATTCTGCTCAGTTTCCAAGTTATCGCTAGAGGCAGCTGCACACTACAGGTGTCCGTGCCATGGTGGTTGTTGACCCAGGTGGATTTGGGTTGGGGAAAATCCGGCCGGAGGAGACACATCGTGACGTAACGTGAAGATCGTGAGATCATGCGAGGCAGCAGGGAGACATCGTCCTTGCTGGCGAGTCAAAAGATATCGCTTTGGCTGCGCTAAGGGCTCCATGGCATGGCACGGAACATGCACAACAATGGTCCCGTTCTATGCTGATGACCAGAATGAATGGTCCCAACCCGGATAGTCGAGCGGAGACAGAGGAAGAGGGGGCAGAGAACAGCTGTACGTCAAAGACATCGTGCACCTGTAGCCTCGTATGAACAAGGTATAAACAAGGTAAAAGCAAAACATCTTTGCCGCCATCACCATTCTGCACTGAGCACAACCCCCTCGTCATCTGAATACACCTCTAACCGCGTACGATTACGAGTTACAAGTTCGCACAGACTGCAATGTTGCAGGCTACGATGTACCTTATAGCCATCGCCCAGGGATAGCGCATCGGGGTATACCTCACGACCGCTGCGCTCCTCTCCTACTCCTCTCGTGCTCTGTCACTATGGGTTGCCACGCTGAGACGAAGAAATCGGTTGGTAGCTGGGGTGTGCCCGCGGTCCGCGGTAACCCGCGGTGGATTTGAACTCGACTGTGCACCATTCGCGACGTTTCATGACACATAGCAATAAAAGACGTTGTTGCACTTAGGGGTAGGGAACCATAGGGCTGCGGATTACCGCCGCAGGCCCTCAACAGCCGCAGCCCAAGCAGCTCCATCGCCAAACTATATATTGCTCTGCGGACACTTTTTTTACACCGAAACATTTGTTAGCCCACCCCCGCATGTGTTCGTTAGGAACCCGCATGGCGCTGTCCTTATATCCCTGCCCAAGGCTGAAGCAACCGAGCAAGGCAACATGAGCCGGGTTGCCATGTTGCCCGCCACATGACACCATGTGCCGGCACACAGGAACAAGCACACAAGCGCGGATCTGGGGTAATGCTTCAACAGGTACGTGGGCGTGGGCTTCCTATCTGTTATTTCATGCGCAAATACATCATTGTAATGGCCAATCAGAAGTGGAGAAACTAAGGAAACCAATAAACGCCAAAATTAACCCATCTTGTGACGCATGTGGTTGCACATGATGGCCGGTCGCTCGTTTATGTGCTGTAATCTAAACCAGCCTGCAGCACTAATCTTATGGGATTTACAGGGTATTTCCACTAGGCCGCACACTAACTTTTGGACATTATCTTTAATGTGGACTTAGTTTGTGGCTTGTGGACAGGTGTTTCCACTAAGCGCCCCGGAACCATACGACAGGTTGCTATAAAGGCACCAAACCATTGTTATAGTAAGATTGGGTGTAATTTAATGCGCAAATCATTACAGTTTGGTCGGCGAATTGCTGGAATGTGGGCAATTCGACCGGTCCTGCTGTGAATTCCACTGGTTAGCGGGCTATTTGCGGCTGTGGATAAAGGAAAATACAAAAGCCAACGTAGGGCCTTGAAGAAGGAAAATGGCTGACTATGAATTTTCCCGCTCGGAAGTTAATGTCCACTTTGAAAGTTATCAGCAGGTCTGAGGCCCTGATAACTAGTGTGCCACTAAGGCGGACTTAGTGTCCGAGGCGTTTCCACTGGGCCCTTCGGCTTTTCGCGTACGGAGCCCCTTTACGCGATTTTTTAAAGAACTTTTACTTTCTATTAATGTATTTAACTAGTTTCTTATCGCTTGCATGATTTACTGAGCCAGGTGTGAGATTTTTTGAACTTAATGTTACAGGGTGTTTCCACTTGTTCAAACACTATCTTCGGTACACTATGTGCTAGTGTGGACTTAGTGTAGTGCTAGTGTGACGGTGTTTCCACTAGCGGCACTAAGGAGCGCCGAAACCAAAATTGTTTTCGTATTTTGAACGTTTTAGCGCCAGGGATTAATTGCTGATAATTGTCAAGGTCTGTAAGAATTCGTGTATTTAAGATCCGCTGCGGCGCAGCCTGCGTCATGATGTCCGCCATGAAGTCCGCATGGTGCATTGGCAACGGCCGGCCAGCAAAGGAAGGCAAACGAGCAGTATATGTTTGCTGAACGTTATTGAAGGAGGGCTCCATTGCAAAATGGCGGTGTTCTGAGGCTGTCGGTGTTGGGCGTGCGCAAGTCAACGCGGCGTTTGCAGGAAGGAAAAAAGATTGCTGCTTACGTCTAAAGTCTATGGTTAGAAGGGACAATCCAGCTCATAAAAGTTGCCCGCCAAATAGTTAGTGCTAGGTACTAAAGTTAATGGCAGGTCTGAGGTCCAATTAACTCTAGTGTGCGCTAGTGTGGACTTAGTGTACGGGGTGTTTCCACTAGGCCTTACGGTTCCCCGCCAGGAGTGCCCCAACCTCCAATTTGTTTGATGAATATTTTCTACTATCATTAGTACTATCAATATATGCATTTAGAACGGCGGGAGACGAGTCCAGGACGAAGAACATTCAAACTTAGTGTTAGTGTTCGGCCAAGTGGAAACACCCTGTTAGTGTGCGGTCTAGTGGAAATACCCTGTTAGGCGGACTTCTATGCACCTCCCTCGTACAAAAAAAGAAAGTAACAATTAAGCAATTTCACATTGAGCAATTTCACATGCCGTGCACAGAACGCATATTTTGGCCATCCATGCAGCCCGGAGGCGTCAGTACCTACGCGCACGGTTTCAAAACCGAATCAAGGACAGCCCGCACTGCGACAATTATAGTGAACATGACAACAGCGAAACTGAGAATTACCGAACGGTCGGTTTGACATCCATGCCAAGTCCGCTTCTTCCCACGCGCACATCGGGTCATGCACCAGGAGTTTCGAATGCACCACCACCACCACCACCACCACCACCACCACCACCATTAGCACCATCAACACCACATCACTATACCACCGCCACAGGGCACATTCGTCTCGGGAACAGAACGTCGGCCCTGTAGCCGGGTGGCGGCGGGAGAGGAGCATCACTCCATTGTGGGTGGCACCGCCATGAGCACGCCACGACGGGTCACCGCATCGTACGCCTCCGCCAGTACGGCACTGACGGCGGCGGAGTCCAGGGCCGAAGTCGCCGACCCACGGGCCATCTCCGTGGCGGCGCGTAACGCCGCCATTGCCACCTCGGGCTCCAGCCTGGGGTCCACTTGCACCTTTCCACTATCACCGTCACCGTCACCATCACCGAGCTTAACCGCGGTTGCAGGTAAGCCGCCGTCACCGCCACCGTCACCGCTGACGCTCAACGAAGGCAACGGCCGCGGCGGCCGCGCCTGCACGAGCTTCATCACCACAGACGCCAGCGACATCGTTGGCCTGCCGCTGCCGCCGCCGTCCGTTCCAGCTTGCTTGCCCCCCTCACCGTCCTCCCCCTCCCCCTCCGGATCAAGGAAGGGGAGGAAGCCGTCGGCCAGCGTGCCAAACGCCAGTGTTGTGGGTCTGACCCGTGGGTCAAGGTTGCACACGGCGGCGATGTCATCCTCGGAGCTCAGGTTGGAGTTCATGAGGTGGGGGCGGGGCAGTGGCGGGTGGCCGACCGCCTGGAGCTCTAGGCACCTCGCCTCCCACGCCGCGATAATCTGCGCCGCCACCTTCTCGTAGTCGCCAGAGTCCAGCCTCCATACCCTGACATCGTGACATGGCGTCGAACATCGGGCTTTGAAGAGCGTTTAGCCGAAGGGGCGCAAGCGGGTAGGTTGCCGAGTCAAAAAGGTGGGAGATTGCAGCACCTTCAGCTTTCCCGCAACTGCCCTGGCATTTTCAGCACACCGGCAGTTGCGGGAAAGCTGACCGCCGTGATAACTTTTCAACTTAGCGTGAAACCCTCTTTTCCCCCGTCATTTCCGCACTTGTCCGCCAAGGCTTCCGCCTCGCCAGGTTGATGCACCTTGATCTTCTTCCGACCCACCCGCCCTCCCTCCCGCCCTCCCTCCCGCCCTCCCTCCCGCCCTCCCTCCCGCCCTCCTTCCCCCCTCCCCCCTCCCGCCCCCCTCCCTCCCTCCGTAAGCCGTAGGCCGCTGCGGTTGAATCTCCAAACGCCCAGCCGCACCTGAACAGGTCGAAGCAGCGGGCGTGCTCCGGAACCAACCAGCCGAACGCCGCCTCCACATCGCGGCGGAACGCCGCCGGCACCGCTAAAGCACGCGACACGGCCAGGAAGGCGGCCGTCGTGAGGGTGTCCGCAAGGGCCGTGGCGCTGCCGCCGTCAGCGCCTCCGCTGCCGTTGGCCGCCAGGAACAGCAGGTGCGCCAGAAGCGGTGTCACCGCAACGCCGTGGGGCAGGCCGCAGCGGCGGCCAGCTTCCACGTCGTACGGCGCCAGAAGCTGCTGCACGGCGCTGACCTGGGTCCAGCGAAAGGAACATATGGGGGGCAGAGGGTGGGGATGGTGTGTACGGCAAGTACGGCGGGATCGGCAGGTCGTGCGAAAAATAATCTCCGAACGGGTCCAGAGGGTCCAGGTCTAGGACGGGGCAGCTGGGCGCTGTGCTGGACCAGGAGGTAGAGGTCAGGACCCAGGCCGGTCGGTCGGTCGCGGTCGGTCGGTCGGCGCGGGGGAAAGAAATCCCAACTGGAAGACTACCGCAACCAACCTGAGGTGTACGGCAGTGGATACGGCGATAGAAAGCCCGCCAGAGCGGCGGCTGTTGTCAACACAGGCACCACCTTCCCCGAACATCACACCCACGTGTGTGCAGACATCCGACCAGACTCTGGACCCTGGCCACTCAACACGCGGACCGGACCCGGCTTGGATACAACTCTCCCACCCTCCTCACCCACCCCGCCCAACCCTACGGAGGCCCCGCAGCCCGCACACCTCGACACCCCCCCACCTGTTCGTGCGCGTGTGTGCCAATCAACCGGCCCACGCCGCCCCAACACTCCCGCTCCGGAACCCCCATCTGAGTCCACTCGCGGCCCAATATCGCCACCACGTACAGCGAGCTCGTCCCGTCGTACCCGTCCAGGTGTGCGGCGCAGTACAGGTTTTGAAGTACCAAGTACAGCAGGTCACTGGCGCGACGACCTGTCGGGTGCAACGTACGGCATGACGTGTCGCCTTACACATCACCGCACACGAGGCATCACATGAAATACCACATGCGGTGAGCGCAGTTGAGGGGGCCCCCGGTAATGATGAAGGGGGGATGACGAGCAGCTGAAGTTGGCGAACCTTACCGCAGTGTCGGCCTCTACCGACTATGGAGGGCCACCTCTGCTAAAGCAGATAGCAGGCGCTCTGCTGCGGTATAACAGTTTCTGGATAGATCGGTTGGTTCGACAGAAAGATACTTTTTGAGCGATAAACTAACTTTGGGTTTTCTCATTCGTTTAACGATACCTACCTAATTTGGACATACAGCCTTCGGCCCCCTGATGATCACCCTCCCAACCCCCTCCCACCCGCAAACAGCGCCACTCGGCACCCGTGTCTCAGAGCGTTGATTCGCTGCACCGTCAGAACCAATCGCGACAGGGAGTTGGCCAGCCGCTCAGTGCGATCGAACAGCGCCGGAGGAGACGGGGCCAGCACCTGCGCCTGTACCTGCACCTGCACCTGGCCGCCAGCAGCGCCCGGGTGCGGGTGATGGGAGGGGGAGTGGGAGTGGGGCGGTGCTCTCGGAGCTGTGGACGTGGTGGTGGCGGCGGCGGCGGCAGTGCTGGATCCGGCCCAATCCGCGGAGCGAGACTCTGCGGTCAGTCCTCCGCCCCCTCCTCCTCCTCCTCCTCCTCCATCTCGCGGCTGGGGGTTTGGGCCAGCCGATACGGCTTCAGAGGCCGCGGCTCTTTGGCGAAATCCGGTACGGGAGGCAGCGGCGGCGGCGGCGGCGGCGGCGGCCAGGTCGCTCCGCGTGCACCTGAGGTCCTCTACCTGATGGTGGCGATTAGGGGGATGATGATCCCGGGAGGGGGAGGGCGGCAAATGTGGCCGGGCCCAGGGGCGGGAAGGCGGGAAGGGCTCAGGGGCCAAAGAGAGCGGCGCAGCAGATGCAGCCAGGCAGGAGCAATAGCCCTAGCAGCCTCAGCACCGCCAGCAGCAGCCTCAGCAGCAGCCTGGTCAGCTCACACGGGTCAGCTGAAGCCACCTCCCGACCCACCCTCACATCGCTGCGCTGCTGCTGCCGGGGCCCCCTCCTCCCTCGCACCCCACTCTCCTCCCTCGCACCCCACCCTCCTCCCTCGCACCCCACCCTCCTCCCTCGCACCCCACCCTCCTCCCTCGCACCCCACCCTCCTCCCTCGCACCCCACCCTCCTCCCTCGCACCCCACCCTCCTCCCTCGCACCCCACCCTCCTCCCTCGCACCCCACCCTCCTCCCTCGCACCCACCTGGGCCTCCACTGCGAGCTGTTGAAAGCACTGCATGAGGGGCGTCTCCATTAGAGATGCGGACACCAGCGGACCTGACGGGGTGGCGGCGGGGGGGCGGGAGGGTGGTGGGGGGAAAGACGGTATTCCGGACGGGGTGGGTTATGAACTGACAACTGACGAACCCACGTACCTGAGGCAATTGCCACTCGCCCGGACTCTTGTTGCTTGTTGCCCGGCAGCTCCCCCTCCCGTTGCTGCTGCTGCTGCTGCTGCTGCTGGTGGTGCTTCTCCGCCGCCAGCGCCCCACCCCGGTGCCGCTGCTGCCAGTCCAGGGGGGCCACTCCGTCACGGTGGCACCGCTCCAGGAGGGACTGCGGGATACACGGGGACCCCGGGGCAACACCACATACATACATGCATACATACATGCATACATACATGCATACATACATACATACAAACATGTCCGGAGGTGGTTTCCAGTCCGAGGGAGCGCCGTGGGACCCCGTGAGGCGGTGCAGTTGCATTTGGGACACCGAAGGGGCGTGTGGAAATGGGGGAAAGACGAACCACGAACGAGTGAGAAGCTGCTGCCAGGGCAAGAGTGTACCAATGTAAACGGGGGAGGACGTGGGACATTGTGATGCGCGTCGTGAAATTGCCCTAATTGCACCCAATCGGGAGCTTGTCCGCAGCCACAGCCACAGCCTCACGGCGCTTCATTGGCACACACACCCCGCCGGCACTGCCGCCTGTCGGCAGGTGAAGGGTAGCCAGCGGAGTAGCAGGAGCAGGAGGAGATAGCTTCATTGGAAGCGGCTGAGCCGCTGCCACCGCCAGCACCTCGTTGGGGAGAAATTGGAGAGCCCAGGTACCCAGGACTACACACAGGCTCGTACGATACGGCACCAAAACACGCGCGTATCCCCGCACCACCCCATGAGCTCTCATCTGTCGTACATCCGTACATCTGACCAGGTAGGCTCCCTTCCTTAGCACGCACGCACCTGCGGAAGCTCCATACCAAATTGCGTCCGCAGCGCATTCACCTCGTACGGCCCGTACGGCATCGTACGACTCAGTGCCGCTGCAGAAGCCTCAAAGGATGCAAACAGCGCCGGTCGTTCATGCGGCAGCCTGGCGGGGTCAGCTGCCGGAGGAGCGCGCCGTACGACAAGCGCAAAGTCGGCCGTTACGCCGCTTAGGTACTTGTCGTACATTACGTGCATTTTTGGCTTATAAGCATCGAGGACCAGAAAATCGTGGAGACGGGCTTCCGGTTGCTGAAGGAGCCGTACGGCAATCGGCGTGGAAAGCAGCTCATCCATTTGTCGTACAGCTTCAGCAGGTAGATTATATGCTGAGCCATAGGCTTGGAGACGGCGGTGCAGCCGGGGGATGTCGATGACATCGTCGCCCGCCGCCGTTGGGAGAGTGGCGGCGGTGTGAACATAAGGACCCGCGGGTGAAGCGTCCTTTGCGGCCCTGCAATAAATATGGGGGAGTATTGGGAAGCTTCAAATCCTTGTTGTCGCTGCTGACGGGGCTGGTAGTGCCACTGCTGCTGGTCATGGAGGGAAGAGCAGACTGCGAAGCAGACGCCACGGCTCGCACGCGCGAGGCAGCAGCCGAATGATCCCCCGCTTGCCTCGTTTCAGTTGAGCTCAAGCAAGTCAAATGCATAATATTGCAAAAATTGGCTCCTTTCAGCCGTCATGCGTCAGCGAAAAGGATGGAAATGTCATTGCCGTGGTGGTCCCATCTTCACGGTGGAGACGATAACTGTGTCAGCATAATACAGTAGTGCCAAGCCTCCGAAGACGGCCATATTGGTCCTTTACGTCCCTGCTTTACTGGCTACGGCAGGTACTGGCCCATGGACCAGCGGCCCTCTCGTTGGGCTGTTTGGTCGCGTACCTGGAAGGTCCAGAGAGGCCAGGTTGACAGAGTGATGTTGTATCCATTCTCAGAAATGTTCGCCGGCGCGCTTCCAATGCTCGATGACGTCTTCCGGCAATGAGAAGTCGCGACTGTCAATTACGATATGCTGACCTTTGACGACCTGATTTTGTTGATAATACGAATATAAGTTATTAATATACATGAATCTATGTCATCGATATCAGTTGAACAAGCAACTAGCACGTCATGGTGTGGTGAGGAAACATCGTCAGCGAAAGGAAAAAACTCTATATACATATACCTTATGTTTGCAGCACCCTGTCAGAAATGGAAAACCTGTACCACATTCGTGTTCGCCCAAATCCCCATGTGTTCAGGACCCAACTACCGTACGAAACACAGAAACCAATGTACCTTCATACGGGCAATCCTACCTGCTAACCTGCACACGGAAAAAGCTCAATGCGTTTCCTAAATCGTTTATGCCTTAATTCCTTCAAACGCTTGTATTAATTACTATCGTCGAACTGGAAACAGAGCGAGCTGCTTCTGCAGCTCCAGTCGGCGCGGCGACGAAGCAGCGTTGCCCACCAAGGACCATATGAGGTCGTCTGGGCTTCACGGGGGAGGGGGAGTCAGTGCAACGGCACGGTGAAAATGGCACATCCAAGGAACAGAGCACCCTTTTCCATGGAATGAAACATAGTGCTCACAACGAACTTTGATTTTGCAGGCGGCCGCCGTAAGGCAGTAGGCGGGAAGATTCAGTGTTTGATCACAAGTGACCGGAGGATCTTTGATTTACGGGCTTCCTGAGACCATGTCAACCATGTGTTTGGTGGCCTGGTGCCATTTGCAAGCCAAGGACGCTGTGAAAGGTATCATCAGATTTAGCTCTCCCCTGTTTAGCATTCATCAGTACTGGGAGGGCAATGAGTGCTGGGGGCGTCTCGCATCACGTACAGCAAGTGGCCGCCTTGCCACGCGAGTGGTGACTTAAATTGTGTTTACGCGCGCGCTTGTATCGAAAGGCAATTGGCGATGCAAGTAGTGTGACATGACGCATTTGGACGCTGCTTTCGCTGACATCATGGTAGGCTAGGCTGTTGGCGGGCTTCCCAGCAGCTGGCAGTAGGCTAGGTCGTGCAGACGCCAGGGCGCAGGGAACCAGAGGTATTGTTACGATAAGATTTTGTCATCCGCCACTTTTTATTAAATATTTTGCTGATTATTATTTAGTCCGGGTTCGCCTTGACGTTCCCGGAAAAGCCCTTGAGCGCAATCCCAGTGATTACGAAATCTCACGACAGTCGAGTTGCTGGTCGAAGATCGCCAACAATTCTTACCCACACAGCAAACCTTTTTAGCCATCAAAGGCACAGACATTGCTAGTATGCACCTGAAGCCGAAGTACAACTGCATTTTTTTCAATGAAACCGTACATACGCATGGATCCGCCCGCGGCAACGGGCGCGCACAAGCGTTGGGGCCCATCTTCGGGCGCAGTTGATATGACCGATTTTGTACAACGTAGTGCATCATTACCCTGGTATGGTCCGCTCAACTTTGAAGGGGGTTAGAAAGACTGTTCTGCTAGGCTCAGCGGCGATTGGCGGCGAAACAGCCATAACGAAGCAAACTATATTGTTCTTAATTATCAGTATTGACATTTGCAACTGCATGTCCATATTCGTGCCCATCCGAGGAAAGAAATTTCCGTCGCTTGTCGAGGAGTTTGGCAGCGTGGGATATGTCTTACGAATACCGGTATGATTCTACTTCTGTCATAATTTGTGCGGCTATGTGATTGTTGCATTTCGGTGCGATATCTCAGCTGAGCTGTGTCTTTACCTGCACCTGAGCAGGTGCAAGCTCAAGTGGCGTATGTCGATATACTCCCACCGAAAAATGTTGTTACTGAGGAGACCATTGTTTGGCCCTTAAAGTGCTTCCAGCTGTTGCTGGTGGCTTCCGAGTACTGCGCGGCGCTGCATGAAGTAAGCGAGGGATGTCATCGCCACAGCGCGTGGGTAGAGTTCCAAACAGTTGGACAGATAGCATCGGCCACATATGTCAAGCTAGCTGGTTCAATCCTTTGATGCATCCCATCTCGCCATGATTACTAAACCGCACGCCCGCCACTGCAGCGGCCTCCCGCGCAAAGGGATTGCCTACCAGGCGCTGTTGACGACCACACTGAGTACTCATGTCCCCTTCACTCCAAGGTTGAAACTATCCCCCCATCCCTGTTCTGTCCATCCATCATCTGCTCCCCGCGCAGTTCATGGCGTTCACCTTCCCAAATGAGGCCTTTCCAAACGATTGGGCCGCGCTGAAGGCCCAAGTGGCCGAACACGCTCGGCAGTTCATCCGCTCCTCCGATACCGTACCTCCGCCGGCTGTCCAGGAGGGCTGCTTGAGGGGCTGGCAGCAGCTCAACGCCCACGCCGTATGGGCCGCCTTTACGCACTGCTACTTCCACGGCCTGCCGCGCGTTGCCCCGGACGAAGATGTCACCCAAGACTGGATGGACGCTAGCCGCTGGCTGCACCGCCTTGTCGGGGATCACGGCTGGCGGACGGATGGGCCGGTGTACTGCGCCGCGGATGTTTGGGTGAAGAACATGCTGGCCCGCCTGCAGCAAGCTTTTCCCGAGTCCGTATCCACCCAGTGGACCCGAGACTTGTTCGGCACGGAACGGGGCTTGAATGTACACCGCACTCCTGCTGTGCGGGGCGACATGCGCAAGCTGGCAGATGGCGGTCGGTTCTACCCCATCTACCCCATGCGACTGACGGGGGGCTACGATCGCATCCAGTTTAAGGCAAGCCAACCGCCGCGCCAGCATTATTTCTGTTCGGCCAACGTAGTCGTTAAAGATCTTTTTGTATAGGAGCGGGAGATGGAGGGGGAGGAGGACCCAAGCATTGGGAATACATCGTCATGCGCTGCTACGATTTCCCGCTTTGCAGACCATCGTCCTATCGTTCACACCGCACACCGCACGTGCGGGGGGGTTAATGCGTGCGCCATGCACGACACAGCTGAGCCTCGGATGCTGAAACGCTTCCGTGCATTTGCGGCTTTTGGCATCCTCACACCTCCCTTGCTTTCCCCCCTCCTGACACTTTCTTTCTCGTTGCTCTACAATGTTGCGACACAGTGGAAGGTTCAAGACCAGGAGGCTCCCCGTACCGTGAGGGGTAGCTGCGGGGTGCCGGGCAACTTCGGGCAGACCGACAACTGCGCGCTGGGCTTCCTGGTGCTGGCGGATGTGGTGGAGTCTTTCTGCGAGGTGAAGCGACGTGTTATTGGTCAAGGGGGGGGAATTTTAGTACGCGGGATAGCGCAGCAGGCCAATGCCGCATAGTTGGGGGCCGCGGACGAATATTGCTGAAGATACCTTCGTTGAGTGGTCCGCGTCATGTTAAGGGCTTGCCCGGAGTAAATGCCGGACTTGCCCGGAGTAAATGGGATAGGGGCACACTCCCTCGTCGGTGTTCCCCGTAAAAATAGAGATAGTGGGCTGAATTGTTTTGGCCGCCGATTGGCACAAATGTGTCTTGACACAGGGCTAGCCATTGTCAATGGGCGGGCACCTGGTGATGTGCCCGGGGGCTTCACTTACTCCAACTCTACTGAGGGTCACAGTTCTATTGATCTGTGCCTTGCATCTTACGGGCTCTTCGAGCAGATTAACACTCTCAAAGTCCTTAGATCTTACTTATGGGGAGAGTCTAATGTGCTGAGTGATCATCACCCGCTTATCCTTCGCCTGCATGCCGTTTTGAGGCCAGGGGCTGCACGGGGTCGGAAGCCTCACCTAGCACGTGAACGGATCCCTATTTTTGATATTTCACGCAAGGGCCGCTTCACTGAGCTTTTTCGTGAACCTGATGGCATTATTACAGAGACCATCAACTCTCTCAAGGAAAAGCTTGTAGAAGGGGCACCCTGTGACGAAAGCATGAATGACCTGCGCACCCTTATCAATAAGTGTGCTAGAGAGACGTTCGGCGATGCACGGGGGATGGAAAAGTCTGTGAAGCGTGACTGGTGGAACGAGGACTGTGCAGCTGCGTGGAATGATATGATGAGTTTCCGTAAGGAGGTCAGGGACCCCGTCTCAGGCAAGCTGCCCGATCTACATAGGACTACCTGGAAGGCCAAGCACCGTGCCTTTAAAAAGGCTAGGAAGGCCGCTATTCAGGAGTTTGAAATGGAAGATATGCGGAGGAGGATTAAGGACGCCCGGTTCAACCCACGCGGATTGTGGACATGGCTGCGTGGGGGAAAACCACCTCCTTGCGGGATCTCAGATATTAATGCTTTTACCGAGCATTTTTCCAAGGTGCTTAATGGTACGGGAGAGACGAGGCAATGCCGCAATGAGGGTATTCAGTTTAGATGGCTGGACGAGGACCAGGTGACGCACAGACGGGAATTAGCTGCTTGGCTTAACGAGGATTTTACGGAGGATGAAATTGCTAGTGGCCTTAAGGCTATGCGCAACAATAAGTCCGCGGGCCTGGAGGGAACCCCGGCCGAGTATTATAAGTACGCTATCAGGGAAACTGAAGGGCAGCAACCCGTGCTTGTGATGGCGCCTTACTTAACGGTGCTATTCAACCGCATATACGGAGCTGAATACCCGAGGGAATTCACGACTAG